GCTAAATTTTCACGATTTCCAATCAGATATTAGGGAGGCACCTTTACTCCTTCTTTCTCTGCCTCCCCCCCAACACCTACCCAACATTACCAGGGCTCTGAAATGAAGGGATTGAACTAGGCCAGGGGTGGCTCTCTAGATCCCCAAGTGCGGCCCTTTGACTGAATCCAAACTTCACAGAACAAATCCCCTTAATAAAAGGATTTTTTTTTCTGTAAAACTTGGATTCAGTCAAAAGACCTAGAAGGTCACATGTGGCCTCAAGGCCACAGACTCCCCACTGCTGAACTAGACATAATCTAAGGTCCCCTCCAACTTTGGAGCCTGTTATCCTACTTACTGGCTATGTGACAGTGGTAGGTCAATTTCCCTCTCTAAATCTTAGTTTTCTGGGCAGTGAGGTGGCGCAGTGGATAGAGTATCCACTGTGGAGTCAGGCAGATCTGAGTTCAAATCTGGCCTTTGATGCTTACTAGCTGTGTGACCCTGAGCAAGTCACTTAATACTGATTGCCTCCCAATAAATAATTAAATCTCAAGTTTTTTCATCTATAAAATAGTGACAATAATACTTTACTAACAGGATTGCTGTGAGATAATAACTTACATTTATATAGTGCTTTAAGATTTACAAAGCCCCTGATTCCATTTGGTCCTTACAATCACCCTCTTCCACAAGTACTGCACATATTATCCACATTCTCCAAGTGAGAAAACCGAGGCACAGAGAGGATATTTGACTTCCCTGCAGCAATCTGGTTAGTTAGTGTCTGATTCCAGCCTCCAATTTAGGTACATCTTGGTTCCAAGTCCATTTTCCCCCCTTTATACCAAGCTGAGATAATGCATATGAAACATGTTGTAAACCTTAAAGCACCATACACTACGTAAGCCATTATTACATAATAATAGCTATATAAATTCAAGTTAATATTTTTCCAGACTTTTTTTTAATCAATACTTAAGAGAGAAAAATAAAAATCCATTAACCAGAAAGGCAAGAAGGGTTGCATATTTATGTTTCCACATTTTACAATTAGCTTCAAAGAGAACTTTTTTAATAAATAATAATAAATATCCTTTCTTACTTTTCAGAGAACTTTCAGACACGATACCATTTGATTCTTACCCCGTGAGATAGGCAGAGGGCAGGGACTATGATTCTTAATTGGCAGATAAGACAGCTGGGGCCCAGAAAGGTAAAGTGACTTGCTGAGGAAGTAAGTCTGCACTGGTTTCATGGCAGGAAGTCCTCTAGTCAGGGCAAGAGCCCAGCCAGAATTCTTAGTCCAATGTCCTTTCCACCACACCAGGCTGTCTCTTAACGTGTCTGTATTTTAACAAGGGGCCTTCTATGCTTTAAATTATAGAAATGAATGGTGGGAATTTTAGGCAAATGAAAGAAGTGATGGAGGAGATATTATTGGAGGGAGTTCCTTGCAAGGCCCCTCAAACCACAACTTGTATCTAGAATCTCAGACTGTTATATCATGAAGGGAGATGAATAGATACAGGTTAAAATGGAATGTTAGAGCTAGAAAAGACTTTAGAACCTAGAATGTTAGGAAACAGAACATAGGATAGTAGAATTGGAAGGATATAGGTTGTCTTATCCTTCAAATTCATACTCACAAGCCCCTCTTCTATGAAGCTTTCCCCATTCAAAAGTCTTCAGGGTTTCTCCTTTGCTCTTATCTCACTCTTATTTTTATACATTGAGCTGGCTCTTGCTTCCTATTACTTAAAGAGCTTATGAACAAGACCAGGGCCTGTGTTCTATCCTAGTCCACAGTACATAGCACAGGATCTTACAGGACTAAGTGCTAAATTAACATTTATTGAATGTCATTGAATTGGGAGGGACCTTACAGCATATTTAGTCCAACCCCCTTATACTTACAGATGAGGATACTGAAGGTTGTGGAAGGGAAGTGGTTTGTCCAAGGTCATAGGGAGCTTTTGTTCAGAATACAGCTTCACATTGGGTAGGAGGCCAACTCATAGATTCATACACCACATTGGTTGAGGGACTTACTTTCCATACTTTCCCACAGAAGCCACAGGTAAAGGTGTTTATGTACTAGTTGTACTGAGGAAGGCCATATGCTCTTTAACGAAGCAATGCCTGGCCCTTGCAACCAAGAATTTTTTAAATGGTGTTAACAACCAGATTTTGTGGTAAGACTTTTAAACCTATCAACACCTCAGTGGTGACAAGGATAATAAAGTGACCCATAAATTTAGGCCTATGAAATCTGAGCCAATTTAGCGGTCACTGAATTGCAGGAGAACATGAAATGTTTCTATTATATTATTTCATTTTATATTTGTGATGCCTTTGTAAAGCACTTTATGTTTCATGTTTTCCTGCTTGACAACTTAGCAGGTATCCTCTAAGCAAAATAACATTCTATGAAACAGGAATTGTATAAAGAGGAAAGAGAATCGATTTATGTAATGATTGACTTCTTGGTGTCTTGGCCACCCAGTTTTCTCCTGTGTTGTCCTTTGGATGTATAGCTCTTTATGCAAAAAGTTAAAAGGGGAAAAAAAATGGTATCAAGAAAGGGCACTTCATGCGCCACATGCAGCTCACAATGCAAGAATGGTAGGCTTAGCAATGTAAACTTCGGGCCAATAACAAGAAGCAAATGTTGGCCAGTAACATTCTCACATCATCAGCTTTGCTAGGTCTAAGGACACATGTTATTTTGGCAACACTGCTGTAAGTAGCAAAATATTATTACTCCTTTGGGAACCAGTTGTAACAATGTTATTTTTGTGTTGCTGACAATGACATATTGTTTGATGTGAATGTATTCCTGAAGAAGATGAAGAAGACTGGTTAGAGAATCATAGAAATATGGAAGATTCGGGCTGGGGATCTTGGAACCCAGGACCTGGAGAATGTAAGCTCCTTGAGGACAAAGGAAATTTCATTTTTGCCATTATAACCTCACATCCAGCACAGGGCCTTGCATGTAGTAAGTATTTAATAAACATTTGTTGAATTAAATTTTAATGTTAAAATATTATGAGGAATGCATTTTGTTATATGCTGGGGAAGGTTGTTTGGGTGTTCATTGGGAAGTATCTTTTGTCAAAACAAAATGGATCCACAAAAAAGGGGAGGGGGAAATGAATCATAGGATGTTAGGAACATACAACAGTCCTAGAGGTATAAGGGAGCTTAGAACATAGAGGCAGTGTGACGTAGTAGAAATAGTGCCAGATTTGGCTTCAGAAGACTTGGGTTCATAACATGACATTTACACTTTTAGTTGTGTGATCATGGCCAAGTCATTTATTTCCATTCCTATGAGACTCAGTTTGTTCATCTGTCAGATGGGGATAATAATAATTGTATTACTTACTTGGAGGGGTAGATTTGTGGGGAATGAGTTTCTCAGACTTTAAAGTGTTATGGAAATATAAATTATTTTAGAATATTTGAGATAAAGTGACTGTAGAATGCAACCTCTTTGTTTTATAAATGGGGAAATTAAAACAGAGAAGTAACTTGGACACAATCACCCTGGAGTGTCAGAGCTATGATTTAAACTTAGTCTCCTATCCGGAGGTCAAGCACTCTTCCTCACTATTCCAAAGTCCCCAGCTTGCTACCTTAGGTTGGATGACATTCATGGGTCATGCCAGGTGGTGGAAAAGAAGGGAGACATAAACTAGGGTAGTTTTCCCTTCCACCAAATTAGTATATGGGGTTAGGGATGGAGTCCCCTGAATCCCTTACTCCCTAGCCTTTCATTCATTATGTATTCAATAAACATTTGAACTTTTCTTATGTATACAATCTTCTCAGCTCCCTTTTATGCCTTCCTCTTACTTCTTCTCAGGCCCCTACTCTTCCTGTTCCCTTAATATCCAAGTATTATGGTGTGAGTTTCATATTAAAAAGAACACTCTACTTGGGACTAGACTACCTGGGTTCTAGTCCTAGCTCCTCTGCTATCTTAAGCCATTAGAGCCAGAGAGTACCTTAGAACATCGTTTAGTCCAACCCACTCATTTGGAAGGCCAGTTGCCCAGGTTTACAAAGTGAATTTCAGTGGCAGAACCAAGGATAGAATCCCAATCTTCCACTTCAACTTCAGTCCTTTTCCACTCAATTAAACTCTCTTATCAAAGTAGCTTCCCTCATTTGGGCCTCAGTTTCCACATTTATAAAATGAGTGTACTGAATTATATGCTATATCCCCCAAATCCTTTCAAGTTCTGATATCCTATTACTCTAAATCTCCCTGTCCCATAATCCCCTTAGCTCTTAACAGTTCTTTTCACCCTTTCCACACACCCCCACCTCCACTCCCACACCTGCACCTGTAAGGAAGTACACACCCAACACTACAGATGCAGGATTTGGGGGGAGGGATTCTAGAGTGAATGAGTGTCCCTGCTCTGGGGAGATGCCTTAACTACCACTAGGGATTAGTTGCGGGGCTCGTTAGATCCTACGAATAGGATGGTGAAGTGTTAGGGAGAAGGATTGGATAGAGATGTCAGAGATCCAGTTTCTGAGGCACGGTGATGGGAGGGGCAGGTGGGAACCACAGTCTGGGGCAGTGCCAGAGGTTTGTAGCTAGAAGTGGGAATCTTGGAGTCGGAAGACATGCGTTCATTCCAACGACTAATCGTGTGACTTTGGACAGGTCCCTTGTCCTATCTGAGAGCCTCTGGCTCCTCTTCTTTAATACGGAATAATATTCCTCTGCCCGGCTTCAATCACAGAGCTCGAGTGAGGAAAGTGACTTCGGGGCTTATATAAAAGGTGACATGTGAGGACTGTGCCAGTCCGAGGAGAGCGTAGCGGTCGTGTCTCCCCCAGGGCTCCTCACGCTCCTAGCACTGCCAAGAGAGGGCACACGTGGGTGGTTGCGCTCGTGGGAGACGAGTGGTCAGGAAGTCCCCGAGCGGTTCTCCACTCGGGCTAGGCACGTGTGTATATAGAAGGAAGGGTAAGGGGAGGGCAAAGAGCGGGAGTGGGCGCGGGGGAGGGACGCTGCCCCTTTAAGCGCAGCCGGGGGAGCCAGCCGGAGGGGTGGGGGCGCCGCCGGGTGGGAGGCCGGGAGGCGGCGCGGCTTTGACGGCCCCAGGGCCCCGGCCCCACTTCCTGGCCGACGGCCTCCAATGGTGAGCCGGAGGATGCCCGTGTTAATTACATAAGCAGAACGTAAATAATTCGCGGGAAAAAAAAGCGAAAAAGATGGCGACCCGCATCCCTCTGTCCCCGGCTTGAGTCGGACTCCAGCTTCTTCAGCTGAGACATGGCCGGTACTCCCTGCCCCTTGAGAGACTGACAGACGGAGGGACGGAGGGGACGGACAGACGGACGGAGGGGACGGACAGACGTAGAGGTGCCACACCACTCACCTCCCCCGCCCTAGCCCTAGCAGCTCCCAATCCGGAGCCTCTCCATCAGCCCCCAGCCCTCTCCTCCAATGCGCCTGGTGGCCAGACTCCAAGTGGGACCGCCGGACGGACGCGCAGCCTCGGGGTAAGGACGGCGCCCTTGCCCTGCCCCGCCCTCGTTCTGTCCCGCCTGGGTCCCTTGAGGGGCTGGAGCTGCCGGGAGGTAGGTGTGGGGGGCTTCTCCTTTCCGCAAGGCATTCCTCTTCTTGACCTCCATCCTCCCGCCGCTCTTTTTGGAAATTTGTACAGATTACAGAGTGGGTTTGTTTTTAGGGAGAAGGGGGAAGGAGGACTAAGGGTTTTTTTGGGGGCAGTTGCTTTTTGGATCTCCAAGCGCAATCCGGCCACAGGAAACTAGGGAGCCAGGGTTCGACTCTTGGGGAGAAGTGGAAGCAAGAGATAAAAGGGCACAGTGGGAATCTTGTCAAATGTTTTCTCCGAGTCTCCGAGTCCAACGGCCTCACGGAAGACTAGCGGGCTCGGGTGGGCGAACAGAACCAGGATGGGAATGGAGGGAGGAGAGGGGAAAGCGATTGTTATTTCGAGCACGTTGGCAGTACTTGGGCAACGACTCCGGGTTGCGGGGAAAGTTGGAGGGAGTTCGCGGGACGGGGTGGGGCGGAGGCAATTGCAGAGAGGTGCTCGGGACAGCATTTTGTTGCTTCTGGGAAAGTTAGAGACGTAACTTTTTAAAGAATTGTTTTTGTAAAAAATAAATAAAAATAAAAATTATGAAATGCATCGGGCTTTGGGGACCTCTCTCTTTATGAATCATCTCGTCCCTCCCCTCTTTTTCCCTTCCCTCCCTCTTCTCTGGGGGCCCCAGACACCAGTTTGACTCAGATTTGAACTGGACAGAGTGTGTAACCCACAAAAATGCATTTTATTTTGAATGTGTTTGAATCAGCCAATCAGAGCCCTTGGGGGCCCGGCTCCGAAAAGTCGGAGGCTGCAGAGACTGAGGTGTTGGGGGCTGGGGACGCCAGGGTGTGATCTGGGAGGGGGAACACTCCTGTTTGTGTAGAATAGGAGGACTCTCCAGCCTACTGAGGCTGGAGACCTTGCGGGATGGCCCGCGCGTCCTTCCCTCCCCACCCCCCTCCCAATCGTGTTCCCTCTGCTGCACTTGCCGGCGCCTAGAGGGAGGAGGGAGGCGGGAGCCGGGATTCTGGGGTAGGAAGTGTCAGTTTGTGAACCTGCAGCAGGAGCCGGGGACGAGTGAGAGCCACCGGATCCGGACTGGAACGGAGCGGGAACCTAGTGTGCCCCACCCCTTTCCCTGGCCCCGGTTGACTCATGCTGCCGGATCCATCCAAAAGGTGGAGAGTTAGAAGCGTAATTCATACTCTTTCCCCCTCACCCAGGGGCCCCCATCCCTAAAGAGTCACATCCCTGCCTCGGATTCTGGGCAACAAGAAGCCAGAGATACATTTTAACCCCTACTTTGGTAGGAGGCATTACTCGCTCTGCTCCCATCCTCTCCTCCTTGTGGGAAGGAAGAGTCAGGTTCAGCAGCCAGAAGCTCGATCCCCAACCTCGACCGTCTCACTCAAGTTTCGCTTTCTGTCTGACGGGTTCGCTGAACTTTGGGGGTGAAAGGCAATGAATATTCCTGCAAAGCATGTATCATCTATTAGGAGCTAGGGACTGGAGGGGCAGGACAGAATGTGTGGGCGGTAGCTGAGTATAGAATCTCTCTCTTCCTAGTGTTCTGTTTGACACACCGACTCCACCCCACCCCACCCCAACTGATCGGACTCCCTGTGAGATTTTCCTGAACTCTCTACGAGGGGTTTTTCTCTACGAAGCAATTCTCGAGGTCCCACTGGGGGACGGGAAGGGAAGGGGTTGGGCAGCTGTTCCTAACACCTGGTTTTTGATCCTGGAAGTGAAGGGATTTCAAGTTCTTCGGTGATGTGTGACCACTCTCTACCTTCACTCAGAGAGGAGTATAATGAACTGAAGAGAGTAAGAACTGGAAAATGTTTCCTTCCTCCTACTGGAGACCTTTCATGATTCCTACCCCCAGTCATTGGTTTGCTCTCTGTCTTGAAGTTTACTTTTATTACTTTATATCTGTGTACCTGTTGTGCCCCTCCTCTAGAATGCAACTCATTGAGGGCAGGAACTATTTTTTTTTTACTTTGTCTTCCCAGCGCCTAGCATGGTGCTTTCCAGACTTGGAAGTGGGAGGAGTCGTGAGGGGAGTCGATCTAGGTCTTAGAGGAAAAACTCTGTACCTTTGCCGGGCTGCACATGCTCTGCAACTTACAGTCTGAGAGGTTTCTGGAGCACTAAAGTCAAGTGACTTGCCCAAGGGGTCCAAGCCGGGAGGTGCCAGAAGTAGCACTTGAACCTAGGTCTCCCTAATTCTGAGGCACTTTTCTCTGCAGTACTACTCCTGCTGCCTCTGTATCTTGCACTTAATTAATGCTGAATTGAACTGAGTTTGGGGGATCTGAGGCAAGCAGGAAAGTTGAGAGTTGAAAACTGTTGATCAATCATCCTGGGAGTTGGGTGGAAATTAGGTTGGATGATTAGTCAACCTAAATAATAATTACCTTTCTATATTTGTTCAGATTATAAAGATGCTTACCACATAAAAGCCCCGAGATATAGGTTGTACAAATCTTTTATTTATCATTTTTTAATTATGAAGAACTTGAAACAGAGAGATGAAGTGATTTACTTGCTCAGTCTGAAGAATTCAATACATCCTACCTCTTTTTCCCTTTCACCAAGTCTGAATACTTCTTCCCTTTCCCACAGGGGGAAATTAAATTTCCAAGATGCTTCTATAGTTCTATGCACTCCTCTTATTTGGAAGGTAAATGAAATAAAGAGTCATATTTAATGGAAATTATTTTATGTTTCTGAATCTCATCCCCTTTCCGTTAATAATAACCTTTCCACTTAGACCTTGGGTAGGCAGCTAGGTGGCTCAGTGGTTAGGTGACCGGGCCTAGAGTCAAGAAAACCTGAGTTCAAATCCAGCCTCATAGGCTTAGTAGCTGTGTAAATTTGGATAAGTCATTTAACCTCTTTGCCTCGATTTCCTCAATTGTAAAATGGGGATAATAAAAGCACCTCCCTCATATGGTTGTTGGTGAGAATCAAATGAGATAATGTTAGCATAGTACCTGGCAAATAGTAGGTGATATATGTGATAGCTATTGTTATGTATCTCATTTTATAACTTTTTAATGCACTTCTGAGTATTATAACTCCATGTAAGTCTGTTTATGAGTGAGTGTGTGTGTGTCTTTCTGGCATGATGGATATAACATTGGACTTACAGTTGGGGTGATTAGGTTTCAGATCTTTTCTCTAACACTAACTGTTTGACTGTGGGCAAGTCAGTTCTCTAAAAGCCTCAGTTTCTTCATCTGTAAAATATGAATGGTACCTGTAGTACTTACTTCATGTGTTATTATGAGGATCAAATGAGATATGTGCAAAGTGCCTTACAAATGTTAAAGTACTGTTTAAATAACCATACCATGAGGCAAGCGAGATGGGGAAGGGAAGGAAACAAATATTTATTAAGTTCCTACAATGTGCAAGGCAGCTCTTTACAAATACTTCTATTTATATCCCTATTATTATTCCCATTTTACAGATTAGGAAACTGAGCCAAACTGAGGTTAAGTGACTTGTCCAGGATCACATAGCTAGTAAACATATGAGGCTGGATTTGACCTGGGGTCTTCTTGACTCCAGGTTCTGAGCTATATCTACTGTGCCATCTAGCTGCCCCAAGTGACTTTTTTTTTTTAGCTAAAACCTTATATCTTTGCACAGTGCTCTGCACGTAGTAAATTTTATACATACATGTATGTACATATACATGCATACATATATATGGCATGACCTCATCAGAGAAGGTGCTGTGCAAAGCAGAATTGAAGTAGCTCAAAAGAAACCCAAGATGTGCACATTTCGAGAATCCACCCCAGACATGCACATGAATTATCTGTGCCCGACCTGTGGTGGAGCATTCCGAGCTCATATTGCTCTGATCAGCCACAGTCAGACACATTGTAACTTGACTCTAACATAGTGATGTCATTTTGATCCTCTTCAAGAATGAAGGACAACCAACCAACTACGAATTTATATGAGTGTATATTGTTGTTGTTATTCAGTTGTATTGGTCTCTTCTTGGCAAAGATACTGGAGTGGTTTACCATTTCCTTCTCCAGCTCATTTTACAGATGAGGAAACTGAGGCAAACAAGGTGAAGTGACTTGCCCAGGGTTACCCAGCTAGTAAGTGACTGAGGTCAGATTTGAACTCAGGGAGATGAATCTTCCTCACTCCAGGCCAACACTTTATTCACTGTGCCACCTAGCTACACACACACACACACACACACACACACACACACACACACTCACTCTTTTTAAATGAAATCAAAGTGTGCAGAAAGAGCTTTGAGATGGAACACAGTGTCCTCGGATTGAATCCATTTCAATAAGTGTTTATTTTGTACATTACACTAGGCATAGGAATGCAAAGATTAAAAATTACACAACCCTTGGCAATAATAATTTACAGCCCATTAGTGAGTACATGACATATACTCCAATGAGTATGGTACAAAGGTGGTGTGGAGGAAGTAGCATGTGGTAGAGGCAAAAGATAATGGTAGCTCATGCTCTTATATATATTTAGAAAGACCTTGTGTTACAGTGGATGGAGTGCTAGACTTGTAGTCAGAAAGACCTGGGTTCAAATTCTGCTCTGACACTTGTTAGCTCTTATGACCATAGTCAAGTACCTTGACCTTTCTGAGCCTCAGGCAACCTTCTAAAAAGTGTCTGTTGAAGGGTTTCTAGTCTGGGAAGAGTTCTCATCTCAGTGAAATTATAGGTCTTTGACACAGTGTCAACCTTTAAAATTGAAAGGCCAAAGTATTTCCACACAGCAATCCTGTGAAGCAAGTTGTAGTATCTCCGTTTTACAGATTAGGAAAGTGAGGCTCAGAAAGGTTAAGTGACTTGCTCAAAATCACGTAATCCAAGTGCTGTAGGAAAGAGGAGAGAAAGGGATTACTTTTAGTTGAGGAGGAAGAGGTAGCTCCTAAACTAAGTCTTAAATGTAAAGGATTTCAGCAGGTAGTGGTAAGGAGGGAGCACAATCCAGGCATGAAGACTGACCTTCACAAATGCCAGAATCTTAGAGAGGGCACGACAAAATCAAGGATTGGAACAGGCCCTATGATTTCCTTGGTATAGGGAACACTCTCCTTTAATGCAGATTGGTACTTTCTCTTCAATTTATAATCTCAGATAATTGCCCACTGAGAGGCGAAGTGATTTGTCCAGGGTTACACAGCCAGTATGTGTGAGAGGAAGGACCAGAACACAGGTCTTCTGGTTTTAAGGCCAGCTTTCTATGGGCTCTGCCACAATTCCTCTCTAAGATCAGAGAACTGCTAGTAAATGGTACAGTTTGATTAGGAGGTAGGGTGTATTCCAGGGAGTAGTTTAACAGAAGGTTGGAAAGATAGGTTGTATCCAGGTAAGATATTTTCTTCCGTTTCCCTCTAACCCAGCATCCCAGATGAATCATAGTCATCTTTCACTTTTGAAAGACTGAAAGACTGATGACACCTGCTAAAGGCATTTCTGCAGCACCTCTGATTCCGAGAACAATTGGGTTAACTATAAAAACCCTTCTCCAGTATTGCTGGTAACATGGGAAACCTATATCTAATCTCCCTACAGATGGCAGTGAATCGATCCATCCACAAATATTTATTGAGATTCTTTAAAAGGTGTTTGATGACAGGGGAAGTCAAGTCAACAAACACATATAAAAGATCCTGTTGCTAGGCACTGTGGGAAATTCAAAGGTGATGACATAGTCCCTGCTATTGAAGAGCTTATAGTCTAATTCATCACAGGTTCTTAAGCTAGGGTCTGTTTTATAACTATTTCAATATAATTGGTTTCCTTAGTAATCTTATATATTTTATTTTATTAGTTTAAAAATGTTATCCTGTGAAGCAATTTATAAGTTTCATCAGATTGTTGAAGGGTCCGTGACACAAAAAGTTAAGAAACACTGGCTAGTGTATTGGGAAACAGTTTAATAATATATAGTTCCTGGCACATAATAGGTACTTATACTAGTTGACTGACTGACTGACTGACTATGGTATGGACTAGAAATTCTCTAAGAGCTCAGAGAAGAGGAAGATCAGTATAGCCTGGCAGGGAGATAAGTGTAGTGCCCTATGCTGCCACCACCATTTAGGTCCTCATCGTCTAGATTATTGCATTTGCCTGTTCATTGATCTCTCTAACACAAGTCTCTCCCCATTCCAACCTATTAACCATTCAGCTGTCAAAGTGATAGTTGGTTTTCATAAAATAATATACTTTAAAATCAGGAAAAAGGGGCATTATAAAATCTTACTTAATCAAGACCCTAGTGGGCCATAAATTACCCATAAGTTTTCTTCTCTCTGGGTGAATCCTGGAGGGAAGTCGAGGCCTCTGGCCAAAATCTCTGCTCAGAAGGTGAATGCAAGGAAAATTCTCCAACTCCTTTTTTCCCCCTAGAAAAGGCTGGGACTAAGGAATTTTGTGTTAAACATTATGGAATGAAAGTGTGTCTTTGTGTTTTTAATCGTAGGGGTGGTCAAAACTGATGGAGAACCTCTCTCTGGAGCCTGAAATCCAAGATGACTGTGGGCCACCCAGGGCAGCGGGTGCTCCCACAAAGCCCAGGAACAACTTCAAAGACTTGATGGTCAAGCTGACTGAGGGCCAGTATGTGCTGTGCAGATGGACGGATGGACTGTATTATCTTGGAAAGATTAAAAGGGTAAAACTTGGCACACTAAGGTCTCCAGATCCCCAGGCCCATAGCCCATTCCCTCACCATCAGATTCTGAGCTCCAAAGCCAGAAAGGGGAGAGGATTGCTGGGAAAATAATTAATTCATTTATTGAAACTATTGACAATTGCTTCTTATCTTTTAGGGGCCCACATAGCTGGAAGTGGAACAAGATAGAAAAAACCTAGGTTGTTTATAGGCTTATAGGACTTAGAACTTAGAAGGGACATTAGAGGTCATCTAATCCAACCCTGTTTTTTTTTTTCAGCAGGCCCAGGGAAGTGAAATGACTTTTCCTAGGTCTCACAAGTGGTGCAGAGGTTAGGAGTCCAAACTAAGACTAAGTAGGTCTTAGGATCTTTATAATGTAGCAAGATATCTCCTTACAAGTCATTGGCATAGTCACTTTTTTACCTTTGGCTGAGAAGGGAAAGGCCCCTTAGGGGAAGATCAAGGAAAGCTTAAATGCAAGGGGGAGGACTTTATGGTCCACTGTTCTTCAGAAAGTCATAATGAAGATAACTCATACTCTGACAACCTCCTTCTTTAATAAAGGACAAAAATGTGGCTTAGCAGTGGGTGAGGATGTGTGAGAAAGATGAACAGGGAAGTTGCATCAAGCGAGGGTGACGTATCTGAGAGGTATTTTGTGTTTGCTTTGGGTTCTTGATGCATCTTTCTAAAGAAAAAGACCCATTCTGAGTGTGAAGAAGGTCCCTAGGTTGGGATAATCCAAAAATCTGCCCAGCAGATGCAGTATGGTGTAGTCAAATACCAGAGCACAAATTGGGAGATCCTGGTTGTACGCCTAGCCTTTCCTGCTGTGTGCCCTCTGACAACCCACTTTCCCTCTACTGGCCTTAATTTCTTTGTCTATAAAATAAGGGGGTTGGACAACATGATCTCTTGTAGATCTAAAGTTTGAGAAATCTTTTGAGTCTTAGCAGCATAGCCTTGGCAGGGTCACCCAAAAATCATTTCCATCATTCTTATTATTCTAATAAACCAGTTCAGATTTCTGGATGCCTGTTTTGTCTATAAATATTCTCATAGAAAGCACTCCTACTTGCTCTTCCCCACACTCACTTACTTTGTAAATGCTTTATCAGGAAATACTTTTTGAGAGCTAGCTTAAATCTCATCTGCTCTTGTAGGTGAGTCCTAATTCTCAGCCAGGTCCTTAAAGTAATCTTTTTAGTCTGTGCATTGAGCCTTACTAAGGACCAGTGGCAGAGACAGCATAGAATACTGAAAAGTGTACAAGATTCGTTGATCTGCCATTAACTCCTTGTAATACCTTGGCAAATATTTTCCCTCTCTGCCTTCAATTTCTTCATCTGAGAAATAAAGAGGTTAGACCAAATTATTTATAAAGTCATTCCAGCTCTAATCTATTAAAACTATCATCCACAATTCCTTCACTACTTATCTTCCATCTGGATTGACACATTGGAGGCAGCCCTTTTAGGACACAAATGTTCTCTAGTGGGTAATACACTGAATCATTGGCAGCTACATGCCCCTTTGGATGAATGTTTCTCTAGTGAGCCCTAGGAGTATGGGCCTGAGGGGATGGGACCTTGGCTGGATAAGTTCAAAGAGAGGGGGAAAAAGGGAAAAGAGGACTATCTAGGCCTGGTCGCTTAGGGAGGGCAGACTTGGACAAAGCTAGAGCTAGGAGAGGACTTGAGTCCTCCTGGGACTCTAGAACCATCTCTGCTGCTTTCTAATTCTCTGACATTGGGCCAGCCACTTACCCTTTTAGAGATCATCATAAGGAGTTAAACAAATTTAAGTTACTATTGTTAGAGGGCTCAGGGCATAGTAGAAAGAGAGCTGCCTTTGTAATCAGGAAGATCTGGATTCAAGTATTGCCTGTGATTCATACTCGCTGTGTAGCTATGGGCCTCATTTAATCATTCAGTACTCCAAGCAAAAGTCTCTAATACTATAAGTTAAAGAAGAATGGTCAATATGTATTAGTAGAGGAAGTTTTCGTACATCAAGGTCCCTCTGCCAATGAAGTCACAGATCCAGACATCATCATCATCATCATCATCATCATCATCATCATCATCAAACCACCTGTGAAAGTAGAAGATCACCTAAGACCAGCTGGGTGTACTTAACAGTTTTGCTTGGGGCTAAATCTGGTGGGCTGAGGCCCTCACTTCTAGTCCCCTTTCTAACCGCAGGTCAGCAGTTCCAAGCAAAGCTGCCTTGTGACCTTTGAAGATAACTCCAAGTACTGGGTCTTATGGAAGGATATCCAACATGGTAAGTAACCTGAAAACTTGGGTCACAGTCCTTGGACTTCCTTTATGGATTGATTTCCTAGGATTTTCACTAGAATTTCCCTTCTCCATGCCTTCCCATCTGTTCTTTGCCTACCTTTCTCGCAGCTTGATACCTTGTTTAATCCCTGGGCTCTCTGGGTTTTAGAATCATAAAACATAGAATGGTATAGCTAGAAAGGGTCTTGTGTAGTTAATTCACACCACCCCCTCTCTCATTTTCCAGATGAGGAAACTAAGGCCTACCATGGCATAGTAATAAGAATAATGATAATAAGAATCCTTTTATTATCAAAAAATTTGGTGCTAGAAAGATGAGGAAGAAAAGATGGGTGCCTAGATAGGAATTCTGAGGCTGAGAGACTTCCTCATTTAATAGGTATATATACCTGGAAGCTTCATAGGAACAATAGTGTTGAAAAGGAAACAGCTCTAGGGTTTGCCTATTTTAGGCTAGAACTGACCAACTTCACTGAGACACATAGAGCCCATCCCTCATTCACTCATTCATTCATCTACTAATTCATTCATCATATACTTGCTGAGTGCTGATAATTTAATTCAGTTCACCACAAGGAGGATCTGCACCCCGTATAGCTTGAAGACTTAGTTGTCCTTTGGGAAGCTAGAGTGGTAGAAATGGGAAGAAAGAATGTAGCAAAGATCGTTTAATTCAGATTCTATCTGCTATTGCCTAAGGTACTATGGGTGATGAATGGCATGATGTCTGAATAAAGAAGGAATGTTAGGACAGGAAGGGATCCTAAAGATGACCTCTTCCAGTCCTAGGGGTGGAGTGGAAAGAGCACTGGATGTGAAATTCACAAGACCTGAGTTTGAATTCTAGTTCTACAACTTACTACATGTGTGACCTTGAACAAGTCACTTCTCTCCTGATTCCCTCTTCTGAAATGTAGGCGTAGAATAAATTCTCACTGAAGTTCTTTCTAGATCTAGATCCTATGATTCCTCCCATTTTAGAGTAGAGTAGAGTAGAGTGATTTGCTCAAGGACACAAGAAGTTAGTTCCAGAGATGTTGTTGTTGGTGATGAGTTGTTTTTCAGTCATATCCAATTCTCCGTGACCCCATTTGAGTTTTTCTTGACAAAGATACAGGAGTAGTTTGCCAGTTCCTTCTCCAGCTCATTTTGCGATGAGGAAACTAAGGCAAACAGGGTTAAGTGACTTGCCCAGGATCACACAGCTAGTAAGTATCTAAGGCTGGATTAGAACTTAGGAAGAGTAGTCCACCTTACTCTAGGCCTGGTATTCTATCATCAACCCAAATGCCCTGATCCCTCAGACAAATCTGTTTGTGATAACCCATACTGCTCCTAGCTAGCCACTCATTATCACCCTGGGAATTGTATGGCTTATAAGACCTAATTAGGGCCAAAGCAAAGCAAAACAAAGCAAATTAAGCCTGAGCCACAGGCTAGTTTTTAGCAGGTCCAATCAGATGCTGGGTGAGTAGTAGAGTATCTGAACAGACATGAGAACATTGCCTTTTCACTCTCCCTAAGAAACAGATATTACTGAACTCAGAAAAAAAATCATCTTCTCTTCTAACCCTTGATCATTCCAACCCCCTCTATACCATCCTACCAATACCACAGTTTTTGCCTATTTTTAAAAATCTAAAACTGTTATTCTCTTCATATGATTGTAGCTTTTGGAACGAGAGGGAATCTTAAACATAATAACAGTTCTTTCATTATGCAAACAAAGAAACTGAGGTTAAAAGAAAAGCAGAGTTGCCAAGGAAGCTCGTCCAAAGTTACCCCGCTAGTAAATGGCAGCACTGGGACAAAGAGGCAGATCTCAAGTAGTCCCTCAAAGAATCACAGGATTTAGAAATAGAAAAGACCTTAGAGGTGGTCTGGTTCAACCTCATAATGAGGAAATTGGGGCATTTTCCTTGAGTTGCTTTCATATTTAGTATTTATAGGAACGAGCGGGTCGGTACACATAGTGTAATGCCCTCAGAGCCTGAAGGAGTCCTGAGTCATGTCTTCCTTAGTAGATTATTATTAGCTCATTGGGTGTTCTAAAATTCCCTATCTCCCTAGCAGAGAGCCTGTCTCCTCTGGTCTTCCCTCTTGTCTCAGGGCTAGGCAAACCCATAGATGAACAAATGAGTATTCATTCTTCCATTGTGAGAGCTAACCGGGTATGCCATTACTTGGAGCCAGATGGTCTTGTTTCTAGTCCTGGCTCTGCTATTTATAAGTTATGTGACCTTGAACCAGTCACTTCCATTCCCTAGCACTTGTGTTCATTTCATTTTGTAGGTGAAAAACTAAGCCCTTTGAGGTCATGGTCTGTTTCATTTTTGTCTTTGTAATTCCAGTGTTTGCATGAGATATAAGCTCGGAATAATTGTTTAAGCTGAATCAAGATAACAGATTTAATAGTTGGAAAGGACCTCAGAGGCTATCTAATCTAACCCCTCTCCCCATTTTACAGAGGAGAACACTGAGGTCCAGCAGGGTTAAATGATTTGCCCTAAGATTACACAGGTAGTAAATGGTAGGAATGGGATAAGAACTCAGACTGATGCTAAATCCACCATTCTTTCTACTGTACTGTGCTGGTTAGATTAAATCATCTCTAAGTCCCTTTTATCAACATCATCCTGAATTTGCTGTAACATTTTATCTTCTAAGGTCCTTTCCAGTTGGAACATTGATGGGAGAGCCTTTGGCCTTCATTTCCTGACTCTTCACTGTTTTTTTTCTCTTTTAGCTGGTGTTCCAGGCGAAGAGCCGAAATGCAACATCTGTCTGGGAAAAACATCTGGACCCCTGAATGAGATTCTCATCTGTGGAAAGTGTGGTCTTGGTGAGTGACGGCGCTGGAGTCAGAGCTGACAATGAGATCAAACTGAGGTCAAATCTATCCATGTTCGGGGTAGAAGCAGCAGTCCCTATGACTCTGCCATTCTCTCCTAACTTTGTCCCACGATTAGAAGTTCACCCTTGACCTTGCCTTTGCTGGGCAGTTGCCTAGGGTAGAATGGGGAACATTTAGTAGATGTATAATCATGGACAAGTTAGATCATTTCTTTGAACCTCAATTTCCTTATATGTAAAATGGGTACAATAATATCAGCATTACCTCTCTCACAAGACTATGATGAGAACAGAGCTCTGTAAGCCTTAAATTGCTACATAAATGTGAGCCATTACAATTGATGACTCTACCCCAGAAGGGGAAGGTAGGAGAGTCTGAGGAAGGAGACAAGCAGTGAAAAAAGCTAACAAAATAATAAATAAGTCATGTTTCTATAATGCTTTCAGATGGACAAAACACTTTTCTCTCAACAGTCCTGCCAAGTAGGTTGTGCAAGTATTTTCCCATTATACAAAGAAGAAATGTAATGTTCAGAGAGGTTAAATCATAGCAAGTAAGTGCCAGAGTCATGGATTTCAATCCAAGATTCCTGACACTAGGTTCAACGTTCCTTTGACTACCTGGTATCACCTAACATATGACTGAGGCTGCCATGTTTAGTTCTGAGTATTTGCTCCCATTTCTCCATTTGGAGTAAAACCAAACAGGGCCCCCATACTGAGGCCCCAAGGTAAGGCCTCCCTCTCTGAGAGCTCCACTGCCAGCCTGGCCACATATCCTCTCTTCCTTTGGAAGGTATTGAAGGCCACTGCCAACATACTCATGTTACTTAAGAAAGGGGATCTCTCAGCCCCAGGTCACCCACTGCTACCAGAGCATGAGCTAGGGCATAGGCTCTAGAGCTCAAAGGAATAGTAGAGGTCATTTAGGCCAAACATCAGCAAATGATGCTCTATGGGCCAATGCTGGCTTGCCAGCTCTTTTTGTATGGCTTTAGAGATTTTAAAACATAAAAACCAGGGGCAGCTAGGTGGCACAGTGGATAGAACTCTGGCCTTGGAGTCAGGAGGACCTGAGGTCAAATCTGGCCTCAGACACTTGACACTTTCTAGCTGTGTGACACTGGGCAAGTCATTTAACCCTTCTTGCTTCACCAAAACAACAACAACAAAAAACCAAAACCCACAAAAAACCATTCTTAGCTCTCAAGTAGTACAAAAACAGATGATAAGTCAGATTTCCAGTTTTATAGATGAGAAAATAGGCCCTGAGAGAGGGCAAATGACTTGTCCAAGGTCATACAGGTAGTATATGGCGATGCTAAGCTGAAACCTAGGTCCTCTGATTCTCTTTTTACTGTACTACACTGTCTCAGGTTAATCCTAGGAGAGAGTACATAGCTGAGGAGATCATGGCACCTGTAAATGTAACTTTTGGATAGGGATGGAAAGGATCAGAACTTGAGGCATTGCCTAAAGGCCCCATAATGGCAGACCTGGAGTCCTGGGGAGGAGGAATGGATGAGAAAGAGATAGAAGGAAAAGGGAAGAAATTTTCCCGCTTTACCCTATTTAGTCGGCCTTGGCTCTGCCTCCTTTCCTTTTTTCCTTCCCTAGCTCTGGGCTCTTTCATGACATTATCAGTTAGGTTCTCCTGAAGAAAAAACTGAGAGCTGTCCAGCTAGGATCTGAGGTCCTGGCTACCAAGATCAGACCAGCTTCTTCAGTCTTCTTCCCCTCGGCCCCTTGGCTGGTTCTTCCCTGGCCATCTCCCTGGTCACCTGCTCATAAGCAGAAAGTGTCACCTAAGTCATAGCTAGATCCCTCAGAGTCCCAGCTTTCTAAGGGCTAGGCTTTCCTTAGCTGGGCCTGGAGAGGACATGAGGTCTGAGGAGTGAGGAGAAAACACCCAGAACATAGTCCAGTGATTCTTTGTGTACATATAGATATACACATGTATATGAGGTTATATATGTACATATATATATATATATGAGTATGTGTATGCATGTATGTGCACATGTGTGTGAATCTATGCTTGTACTGTGTGTGTGTGTGTGGTGTGTGTTTGGGAGGGCAGCAAATTGGAGGGAGTGTGGCTAAGAAGGAGATAACGATCAACTTAATTTTCCTGAGTTTGGAAGAATACTGTCCAGGGGGATGTGTGAGCTGGGTGGGATGAATAATTTTTGGCTTAGCCTGAAGAAGCCCCAGAATTGCACTATAGCTCATCACAGTAGCCAGAGCCTCTCCTCCCAGAATGGTGGTTTCCTTGATTTGCTGCTCAGCCTCTACATTCCAGCTCCTTGGGGACACTGTGTGCCTTTGCCCCCCAATAGGTTACCATCAGCAATGCCATATCCCCATTGCAAGCAGCACCGAAGGGCCCCTGCTAACACCATGGTTCTGCCGCCGCTGTATCTTCGCTCTGGCTGTGCGGGTGAGCCCTCAGTCTAGTCTCTTTTGATCAGTCTTTTCTGATTTCCTATCTTCAGCTGTCTCTTTATTTTCTTCCCTAACTGTAAAATGAGGGGGTGGACTGAATCTCCAAGCTGTCTTTGAGCTCTGACATCGTATGTTTTAAAGTCCTCTCTAGCTCTGACATTCTATAATTCTGTATTTTCTCTTTTCCCAATCTCTTCAACAGTCTTTCTTCATTTCTGTCTGTCTCATCTGTGGTCCCTCTCAATATCTCTCTCTTCTTCACCCTTCCCCCACCTCCACCATGGATCTGTGACACTGGTGGTTCCCAGACCCCAAGTCTGATTCTTATGATCTACTCCCCAGACTATCTGTCCCTGGAAGCAGAGACAGCTCTTTTGGGTGGGGAATGAGTCACCCATTCAGCTGACAGTCATTGAACCACATCCGTTCTGTCCATGTACCAGTCTATACATATTTATCCAGGAGATCCCTAGCACTGTTAAGTTCCTTATGAATGTGTTACCCATAGATGACTGGACTGTCCCATCTTCTGCAGGAGGTTTTTCCTGGTCTCCCCAACTGCTAGTGCCTTCCCTCGGAGATTACCTTCTATAGTATGTTCACAGTTGTTTACATGCTTTCTCTTCCTTTAGAATGTGAGCTTTTTGATGGCAGGGACCAGATCTCTGCCTTTCTTTGTGTCTCCAGCACTTAGCAGTGTCTGGCACATAGTAAGAGCCTAATAAATGCTTTGTCACCTGACTGACCAACTGACTGACTGTTCCACATGTATGCTGTTGATACACTTGCTAGGGAGGTTCTGGGTTCTCTTGGAATGACTTGTATGCCTTCTCCTCATCTCCTCCCCAGAAAGGTGGCGCGCTGAAGAAAGGAGCTATTGCCAAGACCTTGCAAGCAGTGAAAATGGTACTCTCTTACAAGCCTGAGGAGTTAGACTGGGACTCCCCACATCGGACCAACCAGCAGCAGTGTTACTGCTACTGCGGAGGTCCTGGAGAGTAAGGGCCTGGCCACCTTCCCGGGTGACAGCTGGGGTTAGTGGGAGGTGGAGCTGGGACTCATGGACATGACCAGGCCTAAAGCATGTCTCTGCTGAGCTTGGAGCACCGGGGTTGGCCCCACATACAGAGTCGAGGGGGGTGGGTAATGATGGTGATCCCAGGACGTGCTAGTCCTACTGTTCTTTTCCCTGGTCAGACCCTCTCCAGAGTATCGTTCCAGTCCTTGGCTTGGGAATCCTGATAAGTTAGAGTCTATCCACAGAAGAGCAGCTAGGGTTGGAGACAGGAGGTCTATGAACCTTGTGACAGAAGGAACAGGAAAACCACATCACTAGAAAGCTAACATCTGGAGCAGAAAAATAATAGGGTGTGGCCGGGGAAAGGACAGTGGAACTGTCTGGGTCCAGTTCTGGGTGCTTGGAGAACAGGACCTCCAAGTCCTGTTCTCTACCAGACCATGCTGCCTCTTTTCCCAAGTTGGTTTTTTTCCTGATGGTTACAGAGGGAGGGGAACTGGATTTATCTCTGTAGAACTTGGTTCTGCAAGGATGTGGTAACTAGAACTAGTTGTTGAAGAAGAAAATAGAACAATTGAATCAAATCAGCGTTAATTGATCATCCACAGGTGTAAGAGGCCCGTACTTAAGAGGTAGTGTGTCTAGGGTACATAATGCTGGAATCTAGAACAAGGAAGAACTGAGTTTGAATCCTACATCTGACACTAATTATGCACCCATTGGCAGTCACATCTGAGCCTCTATAAAATGAGGATAATGATCATTAGTCTCTGGAACACCTGTCATAGTCTTGTTGGGAGGTTCAAATGACATAAAATAGATCAAGGGAGTTACAGATCTTAAAGCATTATATGAGATCAGTTTGTATTGTTTCATTTGGTAAGTAGAAGGGTTTTAAGTGGCTGGCACAGAACATAAGTGGAAGACTTCAGATTCAAGCCTTAGAAACCTTATCCTACAAGAGACACTGCAGTTTTAAACCTCAGCCTCATATTCTGACCTATATAGAAGAAAAATGAAAAAGACTGAAGATGAAGAGATGCGGGTTTTAGTCTTTGTTCTGCCACTCATTCTGCGACTCTAGGCAATTCAGTTCCTTTCTCTGAGTATCAGTTTACCTATCTATCAAATGGGGTTAACAATACTTGCCCTACCTACCTCCTAGGGGTATTATGAAAATAAAATGAAATGAAGAGAAAAGTGCTTTTTCAAAGTATAAAGCCAGGTAAGGTGTTAGCTTGTAATAGTAATTATTATTGCTTATTATCCTATTAAGAAAATTGCTTTGGCTGTCTCCTGAAATGTATATCTCTTTGATGTGAATTTCAGTTACAGAAGTTTCCCAGTATAGGTTGGGCATGTATTACTCAGAAAGGAAGGAATCAAGAAAAGATTTTTCTTTAGGGGTTGAGGAAGGGAAGAAGGTTATCCCTGCCCTTACAGCCTGGCTTTTCCTTCCTTCCTGCTCCCCCCCCCCAATCCCATCTTATCCTAGAGGGAAAAAGTAGGAGGCGAAGGTTGACGTGGGCTTCTTCTCTTCCTAGGTGGTACCTAAGAATGCTTCAGTGTTATAGGTGTAGGCAATGGTTTCATGAGGCCTGTACGCAGTGCTTGAATGAGCCCATGATGTTTGGAGACAGGTACGTGTTTTTCTTAGGTGATCTGAGCTTGCCCCACTGAGGCTGTGTGTGGTGTATGTGTCCTCATGTAAGATTATATGTACTTCATTCTCTGGGCAGTTGTATCTATATATGCAACCATCTCTGCTTTTCTCACACATGTATGTGTTTCTTTCTGTTTGTACTTTGTATGTGTATGTGTATGTCCATGCCATACTATGTATATGCATCTCTAGTTCTCTGTATATGTATATGATTGTCTATTTGTGTGATTATTTGTACGTGTTGTATCACAAAACATGGACTAGCTTCTCTATGTCTTGATTCCACAGCCAATTTCTGTTAGCATTCAACAGTAGAGCCTGAGTTGATTCTGAGGAGGGCCATTAAGTGAGTGTGTAGAATTTCTTGGCTCCTTGAGCATATATTCATGGTGGAGTTTCCAGAGGAAGGCCACTCTGCCTCATCTCTTTTCTCTGACCAAGCCCATTTAATTTAACTCCTGCCTCCTTGGTCTCAAAAGCCTGTGGGGGCAAGGACTGACTGGATTTCTGGGCACACCTGAAACCATCTATCAAAAGCTCAGCAGTCCAGGGATTTTCAAGAACATGAAGCAAGGGATGAGTGGAAGGATCTCGATGAACCGGTCACTTAAGTAGTATTTATTAAGTGTGTACTATGTACCAGGCACACGCTGAGTGCTGGAAATACAAAGAAAGTAGGAAAAAACAATCCCTGTCCTCAAGGAACTCACAGTGTGATGTGGAAGAGAACATGCCAACAGCTATGTACATAACAAATATGTATAGGATAAATTGAAGCTCATCTCAGAGGGAAGGTACCACAATTAAGGAGGTCTAGAAAAGGCTTCTTACAGAAGGTGGGATTTTAGCCGAGACTTGAAGGAAGCTAGGCAGCAGAGATGAAGAAGAGCATTCCGGGTCAGAGAGAAGGACTGAGTCATACAGATTCTTAGATGCCCACTTCTGCCATTCAGAGCTTTCTCGGTTGTCCCTGACCCCTTTTCTTCTTTTTTCTTGCAGGTTCTACGTGTTCTTCTGCTCGGTGTGTAACCAGGGACCAGAGTACATTAAGAGGCTACCTCTAAGATGGTGAGGGTAGGGCGTGGTTGGGTAGACCTCATCTTTTGTCCTCTGCCTCAGTTTCCTCACTTGTAAAATGGGATAATAATAGCACCTACCTCCCAGGGCTGTTATAAGGATAAAATAAGATAATATTTGTAAAGCACTTTGTAAACCTTATAGTGCTATATAAATGCTAGCTAGTATTATTATTATTACTAATTTATGGATCAGGAAGTAGGGCCAAAAGAACAGAGGTCTTGACCCTTTCTGGATTAAATTGGTTTTGTCCCTCCCAGAAGAAAGAAAGATACTATTTGTTCTTTGTCACTTGGCCTCAGATTTGACCCTCTTCAGCTATTAAACCCCCTTCTTCCAGCTATGACGTTTCTATCACCAAGCTGGGTTTAGAGCATGGAACATTTCTCCCAGTGTCTCCCTTGGGAGTGGGGCAGGGGCCTAGAGGATAAGCCAGTTCTAAACCTTTTCCTTCCATCCCCAGGGTGGATGTGGTTCACCTTGCCCTCTATAACTTGGGAGTACAGAGCAAAAAGAAATACTTCGATTTTGAAGAAATCCTAGCCTTTGTCAATCACCACTGGGATCTTCTTCAGCTTGGCAAGGTACTGGGGTTGGGGGTGAGAAGAAGAAAGCAAGCAGTGCCTGGGATGGAGGCAGAGAATAGAGAAGGAAATAAAACTTAAGAGCTGGGAATCAGTCTGCTGAAGCTGGAAAAGGCCCAAGAAGAGAAAATGCCAGATCTTAAAGAGCATCTTCTCCAACCAGCTCATTTTACAGAAACAGAAACTGAAGCCTATCAAAGGAAAGTGACTTTTGCAAGGTCACACAGCGAGCTCGTGGCAAATCCAGGACTCAGTTCAAGTTTCTTTCCATTGCATGTTTAAGTTGAAGTAAAAAGATGTAAAGCCCAAAAGACTGTTTGTGACCCAAAGGTTCCAATTTCAGGAAATGGGCCTGCTAGCCTAGCTCTGCCTAGCTAGAGCCTCCGTGGTCTGGGAGAGAGCTGGGAAAGGGAAAGGATGGGAAGAAGGGCAAAGCAAGATGGGCCATTCAGGGGAACGCTTGCTTTAACTGGAGACTGCTGGGTTCTGGGAGAAAGCTTAGGCAATACTGCTCCCTGCTGGCGAAACTGTAGATATCATGTTTTGGTGAATGAAGATTGAAACTTCTTTGGCTCTTCCATCTTTTTCATTCATTCATCATGATTTTTGATACACGTCATAAAACATTAGGGAACTCCCAATTGATCTCACACCATCCCTGAGGCTCAGAGAGGTACAGTGACTTACCCAGGTCCACACAGCTAATAGACAGCTGAGCCAGTGCCACAGCCCAGGTTTCTTGACTTGGAATCCAGTGCTCAGTTGGCCTAATCTTACTTAAATCTTCTTGACATGTTACAGTTCCAAAGTACTTTACAATCCAGCTGTATCCTCCAAGCAGCCGTATAGCATAAATGAGGCAAAGAATATTAGTCCCATTTTACAGATGAGAAGACCATGGCTCTGAGACATTACAACCTAGACAGCTAGATCTGGAAAGATCATTTAGTCCAGTCCCCTTGTTTTTTACAGATAAGGATGCTGAGGATCCAAGAGAGGAAAGTGACTTATCCAAGGTTATGTGGTATCAGTGGCAGAGCTGGTCTTCAAATCCTGGTCTCCTGAAATCCAGGCTTTCTCTCCTTTTTTATGCTGCCTCTCTGACAAAAGGCACTGCTGTAATTTTCAGCCATAGCCCCTAGGCCAAAGGTATAATGAAGTCACTGCCTAGTTTAGGGGGTTCAAGGAACTCCATGCTTATCTAAAAGTTGAGATTGGGGGTGGTACTTAGGGAGACAGCTTGAAGCAGTAGAGGGTATACAACTTTGACCCTGGCCTGAGACTTTGCCGGTGCCTCAAGCTGAAGGCTAATGCTCACGTTTCTCCTCGAGATCCAGCATTGTTCCATTTTTGTCTTTGTGTCCCCAGCACCTAGAGCAATACCTGGTACATAATAGGTGCTTAATGTTGAATTGAATTCCTTCCTCAGCTGACCAGCACCCCAGTGACAGAGCGAGGACCCCATCTCCTTAATGCACTGAACAGCTACAAAAGCAGGTGAGCAGGGGACAACACTGGGAGAGACAGAAAGATGGGCTGGGTTCATATCCAAGTGTTTGATTTCCCCACAACCCTGGTGCTCTTCCTTCCTACCTCAGCATCTTTGATCAGGTTCTTTCCCTCCTCCCCACCCCAAGCCTTCCCTGCCTACAAAAAAATATGCCCTCCTCTCTGCCCATATAAATGCAGAGCATCTTTCCATACTTTCCCCAATAATCTTAAGGAAGTAAAATGTAGAGACTAGAAAAGACCCTAGAACATGGTAAAACAGATCTAGAAGAGATCTCAGAGATCATCTGGGGTCCAGCCCTTCATTTTATAGATGACAATGATGACAATTCACATTTCCATAGCATTTTTTGAACTGACAGCCCATCTGTTAGTGCATACATCCTCAACAGTGAGTGAGGTCTAAAAGGGAGCAGGCTGAATCATCAAGCAGTGCTTTTAGTGACCCGAGCTTCTCCTTGAAACAAACTGTTGGCTTTTTAATGTCCATTCCAGCGATGCTCTAGGGCTGCAAGTCATGGGATGTTATAGCCTCTGGAGAAGAACTGCTGAAGGTCATCCAAAAAGCCGTGAATAAAAAGACACATGTTGAATCTGAGCAATTTGAACTACCACCATCCAGGAGTTAGGCAAGCAGAGCATAAAATGCCATTAGGAAGATAACGTAATCAGGAAAGGTGTGGCAAGAGTGAGGGATAGCCAGTAGTCATCTTGTGTGTTCTCTGGAAACCATATTAGGAGAGCTAAAGGCCACACTTCCTTCCCCCCCCCCCGCGCCCCATCAAGTCCAGTTGGATAGAGTATTTACAAGTAAAACATGGACAAGAGTTACACAGGATGAAAAGAAGCATGTGACTTCCATTGGCAGCCATGTATAGTGGGTAGAACACTACACCTAGAGTCAGGAAGATTGAATTGAAAATCCGAGCTCAGATGCTTCTTAGCAGTGTTACCCCAGGCAAGTCACTTAATTTCTGTCTGCCTCAGTTTCCTTATCTGTAAATTAGGGATAATAATAGCACTTACCTTTCAGGGTTATAGTGAGGATCAAATAAGATATTTGTAAAGCACTTTGTGAAACTGAAAGCACTATATAAATATTGTTAATTATTATTATTGCTGTTGGAAAGAAGTGTCCATATTATATTAATAAAATCATGGTCATTCAGTCAACTACTATTTCTTAAGCAGCTACTGTATGCCAGGCACTGTGCATTAGGTACTAAGGATCCTTCCAAATCATGAAGCATACATTTTCAGGTTTACAAAGTACTTTGTTCATAACAGCTCTGAGTCAGATAGTAAGTTCCCAGTTCTTCTGACTTACAGTCTAGTTTTCTCTTGCCGTGCTGCCTCTCTTCCCATTTAGACCTTGATTCTTAGAATCATGGAATCTTAGAATTTGTGTAGTCCAGCCTTCTGTCTAATGCTGACATGTCCAAGACTTGAGATGAGCCATTCAGCCTCTGACTAGACACTTCTAGTGAGGAGGAAATCCCTACGTCAGGAGGCAGCGAGGTGCCTTTGTAAATGACTACTACTTCCTCATGCCAAGCCCGTGTCTGCGTCTGTGGAACTTCCCGCCATTGCTTCTGGCCCAGGGGCCAAGCAGACCACGCCTAATATCTCTTCCACATGACAGCTACCATAGATGGTACTTGAGACCTGCATAACATCTTTTAGCCTTTGGGAGGCAGCATGGTCCAGTGGAAAGATCACTGGGTTTGGAGTCAGATAACCTGGGTTAAAAATCTAGCCATGGCCCCTAGCTATCTCAGACATTAGGCAAGTCATTTAAACTCTCTGGGCCTTTGCTTACTCATCTGTGAAATGGCAAGGTTAGGCTAGAGAATCAGATTCTGTTGGAAGGAAGTATCCATACTGATGAGATCACAGGTCATTCAATCAACTACTATTTCTTAGGCACCTACGGTATGCCAGACAATGTACAGTAGATACTAACGTGCCCCTAGATGATCTCTAAGGTCCCTTCCAACCTTAAATCTATGACTTTGTTTATAGTATCTTTAATTGTTCCATTTTGCATTTAATACTTAGCACAATGCTTGGTTCATAGTAGGTGCTATATTAATGCTTATTCCCAACCCTGCACACCTCCTTACATTCTGAGTGTTCTGGTCTCCTTGAAGGCACAGCTGTCTTCTCTTACCTGCTCTCCAGGATGGAGCCCAAGTTCTTGCTAAATGTATTAAATTAAAGTCAACATTAGGTGGGCAGAAATGTGAAGGCAGCAACACCCAGTTTCCTTAAGCACTTGTCTTTGTTTCTGGGGCTGCCCAAGACAATGCTACTTAGCCTCAAATTCTTCAGGAAGATTCAGTTCTATGGAGGTAGATAGTTTAGCAAATTCAAGTAGCTTTCCAATTAAAAAAAAAACCCTATCAAGAACCTACTATGTCTAAGGTACTGGGGATACAAAGATGAGAAATTACATAGTTCCTGCCCTCAAGGAGTTTCCTTTCTAATTGTTGTGGTTATGTGTGGTTCCTCCTTCATTCTCAAGGAGGACCATGACATCAGGGAGATGATGACATGACTTGCAATTGACTTTGATTTGAGTGAGGGAGGGCTGTGCAAAGTCACCAGCCTCACTTTCTCCTCCAGAGCTATCCGGGTCAGTGGCCAGATGTCTATCAGGACGACTGGAGATGGCCCAGGATGCAAGACGTAACAAAGACACAAAGAAGTATGATACATGAAGAATAAGGGGAAGAAAGTATTAGACATTAAGGTCCATAAGGGCAGAGCCTAAGGCTTAACTAAACTCTTAGCTAAACTTCACAGAACAAATCCTCTTAATGAAAGGATTTATTTTGTAACACTTGGATTCAGTCAAAAGGCTGCACCTGAGGACCTAGAAGGCCACATGTGGCCTGGAGGCTGCAGGTTCCCTACCCCTGGTCTAGGCATTCAAGAGAAGCTGTGTGTTACAGTGGAAAGAGCCCTGAATCTGGAGTTAGGAGGGCTGGACTCATATTCCATAACTCTTCCACTGCCTACCTTGGTGACCTAGAGCAACCTCAGGGCCTCAGTTTCCTCATCTGTAAAATTAAGCTAGACTAAATGGCCCCAAAGTTTCCTTCCATTTCTAAATCTGATTCCAGATGTGAGGCACAGCAAGAACAAAGTTTTGGGAGATAGGATTCAGGGGAGGGGTGCAATGAGGAGAAATATTCAAAACTCAAAATGCCATCCCACCTCTTCCAGGAGGCCCTCCATGGTTCTCTGGGCCTTAGACTTCACTGTAGGATTTCTTTTGTACCCTTTTAGTACACTCAGCTGATTGTATCTGGTTTGGTGTCCTTGACCCTGTTGGTCTGTAAGCTCCTTGAGGGCAAGGGCCATGTCTTATATAAACCTTATGTCTTTTATCCACGATATTCTAAAGCAGAGATTCATAATCTTTTTGGGGTCATGGACTTTTTGGGCAGATTGGGTGAATCCTGTAGACTCCTCAGAACGATGTTTTTAAAATGCATAAAATAAAATACATAAAATTGCTTTTGAAATACAGTTGTCCAGATACCTTTTAAAAAACAAGTTCATGGACCCCAGGTTGAGAACCCCTGTTCTGTGTACACAGCAGATGTTTAATAAATGTTTGTTCTATTTTATTTCTGAGAGGATAATGGGGAAAGGACAATGAAAAGCAATGGGGTCCCCAGTTACCAGGGAACTTGAGGCTGCCTCGTGCTCCTCACAGCTCATAAGTATATTGTGTCTGTCTCTGGACCACAGAGTATATAGAGAAGGTGTTTGGGGCTGGGTTAGAGCCTAACCTCTGACCTCAGAAATAAGGAGCTGTGATAAGTTCTGAAGCATTTCCTGGGCCTTTTGCCTACACTCCTCCCCTCCTCCCCCCACATACACACACACACACACACACACACACACACACTTGCCTTAGAACATAGTGCTTTGCACACACTGGGTACTTAAGAAATTTTGGTGATATGCATGTGTTGTATTAGGTTTCTCTGTGGCAAGGAGATCAAGAAGAAGAAATGTATCTTTCGACTAAGGATCCGGGTCCCTCCCAACCCACCTGGTAAACTGCTGCCCGACAAGGTGGTGGCTCTGAAGGAAAATGGCGGCACTTCCTCTGACCTACAGAAGAGAGGGAAGAGCAAGTACCAAACTAAGCATAGGTCAGTGCCCTAGGGTGGCTCCCCACACGGGCCGAGGGGGCTGGAGCTGCAGCAGTGACTTGGCATTTCTGCCCTCAGATCCCAGCCTGAGAAGACAGGGAAGTACAGTAGACACTGAACTTCCCCTCCCTCCCCAGCCCCTGTTCTTCCATCCCATCTCTGCCCTTTGCACCATGACCTCACTTCTCATCCTAGTTACGTCATGGAATCTCAAGTGTTTCTTAGCCCCTTCCACCCCGTGTTACCAGCCTTCTCATGACCCCTGTTAGCCCCTATCTTCCACTTGCTTCTAATCCTGACGCCAGTCCTCATTTTCTCTCACCCCTATAAGCACAGCCTCTCCACGACTCCAGCCCCAACCTTCCAAGGTACCATGCCCCTGTCCTTTCCCACTGCTAAAATCTTGTGAGCCCGGGCCTTCCCTCTGCCCTTCCCCCGTGACCTAAGCCCCTGCCCCTTCCTGCGATCCCTTCCCTTTTCCGTGACCCTAGCCCCTGTCCCTCTCTGGCCAATACTCACTTCTCTCCAGGGTGTGAACAGCTGAATCTCTAGCCTGGCCTCCCCTCTCTTAGATATCCAGCTGCTCAGTCTCCCCATGTTAGACTCCCATTCCTTTCCCCTTTTCCCCAAGGCAATGGGGAAGAGGAGGGAGGCTGACACACTCTCTCTCTTTCTCCCTTTTCTGTGTCCACAGTTCGGTGCCTCATGAACAGCAGAAAAGGCGAGTTGTTAGAAGAAAAAGATCAAAATTTTTGTTGGAAGATGCTATTCCCAGTGTTAGTTTCTCACTGTCTGTCTTACTCTCCACACTTTTACTTTCCTGGGTCTGTACAAACCAGCAAAACTTTACTTAAAAAAAGAATATGCCTTCTCTTCCTCCAATCCCTAATTTTGGTGACCATATATAACTTGCCCTGTTTGGGAGAAAACTCCAGTACCTTTGGTGAGAATAACGACCCCTCCATTTATGCAGTGCTGTGTACTTCTGTAAGCACTTACACATTGACCACCCCATTAGATCCTTGTAAAAACTTGTGGTGTAATGATGGGAAGGGAGAGGGATGTGTAGTCAGAAGACCTGAGTTAAAATCCTGGCTCTGCCACTCACCGACTCCATAAACCCAAGCAGACCTCTTCCTCTCTCTAGACTTTGATTTCCTCATCCATAAAATAATGGAGTTTGACTCGATGGTCCAACTGTTTAGGGCCATTTGAACTGTAACTTCTGGAAGCTATAAATCTTGTCTAAGAAGTGTGGCAGAGATTATTATCCATATTTTATAGGTAAGGAAATAAGAGCCTAGAGAGGGTAAATAATATATACAAGGTCGACTAGTGGGCCATTGACAGTCTGGCCTAGAACCCAAGCCAGGGCTCTTTCTGCTGTACTCTTTTCACAACATGTCACCTCTAATGCTACCTTCTCATCCTGAACCTTGGCATCTATGACCAGACACCAGACTTAAGGAACAGAACATCTTCTTCCCCTGCCAATTTTAGAGGACAGAGCAGCTGGAGGTTCAGTGGTCCTGGGCATTCCTAGGCCTATTAGGTCCAAGTGACTGACAGTTAGGTTGGGGTGGGGTGGGGAGAAGATAACAGTGATGTTAGAAATAGGCCAGGTTTGCCCATGCTGGGAGGAACTGGGAGTACTCTGGGCTTAAAAGGGGCTATTTGGGTCGTGGTGCTGAGGGAATTGTTGAGCAAATATTAAGGAGCGCCTGACCTTCTGCTTCAGGTATGTAGTAGAAAAGGCATTGGACTTGGGTCCAAGTACTGTATCTGCTATTTGTGACATATAGCAATCCCCCTGAGCCTCAGTTTCTCCATTATTTCTAAAGTCACTTCCATGCTGAATCTGGCACTTTGCCTTCACTACCCTGCTGGTTAGAAGGCTCTGAGAGCCCCTCGTGTATTTAACAAACATTCTCCGCCTATTAGGTGCAGAACCCTGTTCCTTAAATCTGGTCTCTGTTTCCAGCAGAGAGATAAAGGTAAAGAAGATATGGCCTCTGCCCTTGTAATACTGACAGCCTAGGAGGAAATATGTGGAGCTTACCTGGGAAAGGGCAGATCAAGGTCTTTGGAGAGCAACTAAGAGGCCCATGTTTACATAGCACTTTTACAAAAGATCTATCCCAATATCCCAGTATAGTAGCCCATTACAAGTAAGGAAACTGATGGGCAAGTGATGCCCGAGGTCACATAGCTACTATATGGCAGAGTCAGGATTTGAACCCAGGTTTCCTGACTCAAAACCTAATCTTCTTTTCACCATGCATCAGGAGCTTGAACCAATCAAGTGCTAAGTACTGGCCAGGATAAGAACTCACATTTCTCCAGCACTTTAAGGTTTACAACATGCTTTTCTCTGCAACAACCCTGTGAGGTGGGGAGCAGTATTCTTCCTATTTTGTAGAAGAGAGAACTGAGACTCATGGACGTTAGTAGCTTGACCAGAGCCCCAGCCCCAAACTAGGTGTTGTAGAGCATCCAAGGGACGATGAGGATATGCTTCCTGCCCTCCTAGGGCTTATGCCATTATTGGGGTTCAGGGCTCTCACAGGTCTTTTGGAGGGGAAAGGGTAGGAAGAGAAGAGGAAGGCTTTCTGAACGAGGGTGGGGAAAGGGTCCAGACTATATGCCAGATGATCAGTGACTTTCTTCATCTTTCTTCTGTGCCCTTAGAGTGACTTCACCTCAGCCTGGAGTACCAATCACCACCTGGCCAGCATATTTGACTTTACTCTAGATGAAATTCAGAGTTTAAAAAGGTAATTGAAGCTAATCCCCACCTCATAGATCTGGACATACTACATGGGGTTGAAAAAGGTGGGGAGGAAGGGCAGCTAGGTGGCGCAGTGGTTAGAGCTCTGGCTTTGGAGTCACGAGGTCCTGAGTTCAAATCCAGCCTCAGATACTTGACAATAGCTGTGTGACCCTAGGCAAGTCACTTAACCCCAATTGCCTCACCAAAAAGAAAAAGGTGGGAAGGAAAGGAAGGTGTTACCAGTGTCCTTGAAAAAGACAGGGAGAGGATAGCTAGGTGGCACAGTGGATAGAGCACCAGCCCTGGAGTAAAGAGGACCTGAGTTCAAATCCAGTCTCAGACACTTGACACTTACTAGCTGTGTGACCTTGGGCAGGTCACTTAACTCTGATTGCCTCACCCCCTCCCAAAAAAAAAAATAAGACAGGGGGCTAAAGATCAGAGGATTTAAAGCTGGACGGGAACTGAAAGATCATCTAGTCCCATGCCCTCATTCTAAACATGAGAAAACTGAAGACAAAGAAGGGATATGACGGACTTGCCCAAGGTCACATGGCTAACAAGTGGCAAGGCTAGAACTCTGGGTCTTTCTCTTTCCAAATGTAGTGTTCTTTCCACATTCTTCTACAGTGGGTGGAGGTAAGGGGTGGGATGGAGCAACTACTTTAATAGAGAAGAGGGAGGTAACTTGGAGTTACAGAAGGCACACAAGGTTTGGGAGTTAGAAGACTTGTTAGCTTGTGATTTTAGGCTAGTCACTTCCCCTCAGTAGGCTCCAGCTTCCCCCTCTGTAGAAAGAAGAGGATGGACAAGATGACCTTTAAAGATGCCTAAATTATGTTTCCAGGGCCATTCTGGGTATAATGTTCTGTGATCTCGGTTGTGGCATGCTGTAGCAGCCTTGGTTTGGCTAAGCTGAGAGAGCTGAGCTCCTGCTTGGAAGGACAGCATTACCTCTCTCCCCCCTCTCTCTTTCAGTGCCAGCTCAGGCCAAACCTTTTTCTCAGATGTGGACTCCACTGATGCTGCCAGCACGTCTGGCTCGGCTTCCACCAGCCTGTCCTATGAGTCCAGGTGAGCAAGAGCAGGGGCCACTCTCACATAATGGTCCCAAGCCCTGGCTGAACCCTAGCATTGATCCCATGAGTCTGTGCTCTCTACGTTCTAATATCCTATGCTGTAAGGTCCCTTCCATCCCTCATACTCTAAGTACCCAGGGTGGGACTAAGAGCCTTGGGGGGTGGGCAGGGGTTAAGCAGGCTTGGCTTCTGTGTGGAGTAAGTCTGCATAGTGTGGCCCTCAAACACTCATTCATAATCCCTCCACACCCCAGTTTGATCCACCCAGCTCCCCATCCCCAGTTAGAAGTCCCATCATCACCTTCTGCCCCTCCTGGACAGGCGGACTGTGGGCAGCCGGAAGAGGAAGCTGGCAGCCAAAGCATACACATCCCTAGGGGCGAAGCGACGGGCAACAGAGCCTGGTGGGCGCTGCACCTCAGACAGCAGTGCTGAAGGGGGCTCGGGCCCTGAGAGACCTGATGATGGCATTGATAGCCACACTTTTGAGAGCATCAGTGAGGACGATTCCTCCCTTTCCCACCTCAAGTCCTCCATCACTAACTATTTTGGTGCGGCTGGGCGGCTGGCATGTGGTGAAAAGTACCAGGTCCTTGCTCGAAGGGTGACCCCTGAAGGGAAGGTCCAGTACCTGGTGGAATGGGAGGGGACTACCCCTTATTGACCCAATGTTGGAGATGGGGGTGGGGGAAGAGTGGGAAGACAGTCTTTAAAGAGTCTTGTTAACCAAAGGAGAGAAGAGGGAAGTCTATCCCAGGGGCCTACTAAGCTCTTGGGCTTCTCTCTATCCCCAGGGGTTTCAAGGGAGATGGGAATTTAGTGATGCTCAGCTCTAGAATTTCATGCCTTTTGGAAAGGCTAAGATAAAAGCTTTGGAGCAGAAGCTCCCATGGTGATTAACTGAGCTCCTAGCTTGGACTGACTTCTCTCTTCTCACGTTCTCTCCCTTTTGTGTCTTTTTTTTTTAAAATTCTCTGCCTCTTTCTGTGTTTTTGTCTCCTTCCCTAGTCCTGCTTTACTCTTTCTTGATGTCTGTCCATATTTCTCTCTGCATCTTCGTCTCTGTACCTACATGTCTTACCTGTCTAGGTGTTTCTTTCTATTCCATGATACAAGTCTGCTTTTGTCTTTTTTTTTTTTTGGTCTGTCTTTCCTTATCTATTCCTCTCCACCCCATTTCTCCACCCTTCCCCAAGCTATATTATTTTAGTAGCTGAATATATGCAGAGGGCAGCTGCTACATGCCCTTCTCTGACCTGGCCTTGGGTTCTCATGGCATGAGAGTGCCTTTAGCATAGTGGGGAATTGTAAAGGGGGGCAGGGGGGAGGGGAGTTCATCTCTCTAGAGTGTGAAGGAGACCCTCCTGCTAGCCCCCTCCTGCAGCTTTCCTGTCACCTCCAATCTCCCCAGACCCAACATGAATGTGGATTCCATTGGTGGGGTAAAGGTGAGATTGAGAATGAGTAGGACAAAGACATAAATGCAACCTCATACTGCCCAACTGTATGTACAGGACAGAGGAATTCCTCTATTGGATGAGGGGCTGCACCCCTACCATACCCACCCAGAATGAACAACAAAAAGGGTTATTTCTTTCCATTGTATTTATTTCTTATCTTAGTGGAATGGCATTTAACTTTGAAGAATCTCCATTTCCCTTTTAACATAACCGAAACCCCTTCTCCTCTCCCCAAACTTTGCTGTGAAGCTGAGATAGAAATCACTTGGTCACTGAGGGCTTTCTGTGTTGGGAGCCCTGGATCAGGGGAAAGAGGGAAGACAAGAACTTGACCAAAGGCAGTGCCCCAAACCCAGCTTCTTCCGTTCCTGGGATCCTGGACACACATCCCATTTCCCCCTTTCCTGGGGGCAGTCAGATGAGTTCATTAAGCGCAGCCTTTCCTGGGAACAATCCCTTCACCCAGTTCCTGGAACAGGAAGGCTAAGAGATGGAGATGGGTGTTGAATGTACATGTGTTTAAGGATAGGGATGCTATAACGAGGATCGTGGTACTTTAGATCTCAAAGAAACCTCATGAGGCAATTAGCTCAACCTGACTTTTTACAGATAAGGAAATGGAGTGGTGGTGTCAGGGGTAGAGTATTAGACTGGGAATTCAAGGATCTAAAAGAATGTTGACTCTGGAATCAGAGGCTGGATTCAAATCCTGCCTCTGTGACTTCGGATGAGTCACCTAATTTTTCTTGACCTCAATTTCCTCAGTGGTAAAATGAGACTGGATGGCCTCTCGGGTTCCTTCTAGCTTTTAGCTATATGATCCAATTTTGAATCCTGTTTCTCTTATTTATAATCCATGTGACCTTGGGCAAGTCACTAAATCTCTCTGAGCCTTAATTTTCTTCCTCTGTAAAATGAAGAGGTTGGTCTCAATAACCTCTCCTTTCTATTTCTAAATCTTCTGCTTAGGGACTTGCCTAAAGTCACAAAAATAGCAAGTACCAGAGCTGGGATTTGAACCCAGGTCTTCTGACATCAAAGGCAGTATGCTCTCTGCACTCTACAGCCTTCTGGATTGATTGTATGTTTGTGTATGTAACCCTACCACTGATCCACCAACGGATGCCAAGCTAACAGCCTAAAGGTGGTAATAGGGCTGTCTACGCTTCATCCAGAGGAGGTATCCCCCTCCCCTGAAACTGACAATCATTTTTCCAGGAAGCCCAGTGCTTGCACTGTTCCTATCCTCTCAAGAGGAGAGCTCAGGGGATGGGGAATGGGGAATGAGGCTGGGAAAGAAGTAGGCCTCCTCAGACAGATAAACGCTGTCACAATGAGCAAAGGGAAAGTTGTAACTAAGCTGGAGGCCCTTCCCCACACTTCTCCCTAGAGGAGGAATCGCCCATGTCGGAAGAAAGTGGGAAATTCCTGATGTTGCTGCTTTTATGAATAATCAAAATCGACCCACAGAAAAGGGAAACCAGATGCACATGTTTCTTCATAGTGTAGAAAGCTCACCAGCTCTACCAAATTCTGTTTGGGAAAGGTGGGGGTGGAGATGGGTAATAGGGTCTGAAGCACTGATGTAGACTTAGGTCTCTAAATGGGGCTGGCCCTGGGAAACTTCAAGATCAGGGATGGGATGAAGGATGGCAGTTTTAAGTGGCCAAACAAGTATTTGAGCAGGTCTTAAGATATTTCCATTATTTTACCTTGCTGGACCGCAAGCCTTAACTTCTATCCTCATGCCTTAGAAAGAGCATCTCTGGTCCCAGTGAGGGACTTAAATGGATACTTACAAACCTCAGAACTTTCAAATTAAATTCCCTATTCTACTCATCCCTATAAAAAAAAAGTACCAACCCTCCGCTGACTTTCCCATTCAACCAGAAAAATTGTGTTGTCTGAGTAGCCATGACTCTGAGGCCTTGGTAGGTGTCCACTCAGATACTGCTAGGTGGTCTCTGTGCCATAAGAAACTCGCCATGGAAGAGTATCTAGAGTAGAGGACTTTTCCTCTTGACTCGGTGGGCCCATGAATAGCATTCACAAATTAAAACAAATGCCCAATCAAGTTGACCCTGGTTCCAGCCTTAGGCAGAGCTAATGGTTCCTTTAAGAAACCTGGGATGAAGAAGCAGGAGTTTAGTAGGGTTATTTGGAAGTTCTGCTGTTTGGGGGATCTCCCAAAAAAAATGACCTGGGTCTTGTACTGTCACTGAGGACACTGGCCAAGCTGGGACCTTAGGACAGTAACCTTTTAAAGGTATTGCCTCCATACTTTATGGCTATGGATGCCTTTGAATTGTGGGGATAAATGGGGCAGCTAAAAACATGGGAAGTATGGGCATCAGTCCTTAGCTAGTCCAATTCCCTGGCAATCCCAAGAGCCATGTGATCTGGGGAGAAAACTGAACAACTGTCCCAGATAACATAGACATCTTCCCATGCCTTGGGTACTTTTAGGCCCCCCAAAGTCACCGTATGTGGGTAGTTGAGAGTCTCCCCACTAAAGGACCATACTCAACTGGCAAGTGCACTTCCCACCTCTGGGAGGCTCTTGGGTCCTTGCTTGGACACACTGAAGCCTCCCTGAGCCCTTTATAGGGGCTGGACCCAACTTTGGCATCCTCACTGGACTGATGGTATTCAACATTGGTTGTAATAGGTCCTGTAATGACTCTGTTGTGCACCTTTTAAAAAGATTTATGGTTCCAAGTTGCTGCTTTTAATAACCAACATTTTATATTAAAGTTGTAATTAATGTTTGATGTACAATTAAAATCTCCCCTTGTATAATCACATGCTTTTTTCCACATCAGTCATTAGGCAAGGGATCCCCCTTGCTGAAGGAGACAACTGCCAAAAGCAAAATAAAGTGACTGGCTTCTTGTGCCCCACTGAAGCTGAGGAACAGTAACCTAAGTTCTCAACACCATCACCAGTAACACCTCCCATTTCTCTGATTGTTTATGGTTTACAAAACACTATCCTGGCAAACCCATGAGATAGGCAGTTTTATAGATGAGAAAACTGAGGCCCAGAGAGTAAAGCAATGACAAAGGTCACACAGCTAGTCATTGTCAAAGATGAAACACAAACTCACATTGTCTGACTTGAAGTCCAGTGTTAGTAAATCTGCTTTTCGTCTTTTTTTTTTTTTGGTCTGTCTCTACTTATCTATCTCTCCTCCCCGCTCCACCCCCCAGGATGCTGTATTATTTTAGTAGTTGGACATGTGCAAAGGGTATCTAGCAGAAAACCTGACCTGGTGGGAAGTATTTTCGTGGTCTTAGAGTGTCCCAAGAAAAATGTGGAGTCACAGAGCAATGGGAGTCATAGTGGAATGAGTATCATTGGCTTTAGATTCAGAAAACTTGGGTTCAAACCCCAACCTTGGGCAAGCCACCTCACCTCTTTTGGGCTTGGTTTCCTCATTTGTAAAATAAATGGATTGAAGAAGTTCTCTAAAGTTGTTTCCATCTCTAGACCCTATGATCTATGAGCTCTTGACCCTGAACCAAGATCTTTCTTCAACATGCTAAACTATTGTCCTTGGGCAATCTGCTAAAGACCAGAAAATAATGAGAGATTCAAGATCACTGAGCTAGAGTTGGAAGGGACCTCAGAGGCCATCTAGTTCAAACATCTTATTTTTTTCAGTGAAGAAACAGGCCAAGGAAGGTAAATGACTTGCCCAACATGAAACAGATGGGATTTGAACCCTGGTCCTCTAAATCCAGAAGCAGGCCTCTCCCCATCGTACCATCCTTCCTCCAAATGAGAGTCTCCCATTATCTTTTCTAACCACCCTCTCCCCTAGCTAAGCACTCTATGCCCAATACAGTGAGTCTGTCAATGAAACATGGAAGAGCAGAAAGCAAAGCAAAATACCTAGCCCTGCATACACAAAGGAGGAATGAAGAATAGTAAGGTAGTTAAAAATAAGATGGTAAATAAAGGAGCTTGATCTAGCAAAGGAGATAGGGCTAATGCATATGGACCAATTTAACACTGTAACACAATTTAAAAATGCAACACGTATTGCACAAAGTAGGCACTTAATAACTTGAACTAGAGAGCAAGTATGGGCTAAAATGCAATCCTGGCCTGGTCCAATAAAGGCAAGATTGCTGTGGGCTACCATGATCAAGGAACGTTTCCTGAATGAGGTGGCACTTGAGTTGCACTTGGAAGGATAGGTGACATTTAGATAAGAGAGGATATCCCAGAACAAGAGAGCAGACAAGGCTTGAAGAGTCTGGGTAGAAGGCAGCAAAGAGACAAGAGAGGGGTAGGCAACCAGGAGTAGCAAAAAATAATGTAAAACTAGACTTTGCATTGAAATGGGCTTCCCCAAGAATGTCTGATTCTCTCAATAGGGCCTCTGGTCAAAGCCTGGATTTCCAGGCTTCAGATCTTTGACTTCTTCCTCTCTGTCTCTTCTCTCTTTCTCCCTCCCTCCCTCCCAATCCCATTTCACTTCTCCCACCCCCTCCAGAAGTTGTATTCCTGATATTTCATATTTAGCTGCTGTCTGCCAGTGTCTGGGCCATAAATAACAGGGGCAGGGTTTCTTAGAAGTTTACATAAGTTATGAACTTTGACATTAAGCTACTTTCTCTTCTAATATCCTAGTCTTAGGGAAGGGGCAGGATTTCTTTTTCTTTTTAAAATTACCTTCATTTCTAAATGTCCTATCTTCCTTCCACCCCACATACATCCAATGAGCTATCAGAATAAAAAAAAAAGATTGGGGGGGAGAGGGAGAGAAAAGTGGTTTGCCAAAACTAACCAACATATCAATAAAGTCTAAAATTATATGCAATATTTCACACCCATGGTGCACCCTCGTAAAAAATAAAAGGGGGGTGGAGAGAAGTGCATTTTTAAAAATCTCTTGTTCAGGGCCAGGTTTGATCATTATAACTATATAAGTTTAAGTCTCAATTTTATTGTCAGTGTATATTATTTTCCTGGGTTCTGCTTATTTTACCGTTTTAGTTCATATTGGTCTTCACATTCTTCTCTGAATCCTTCATTCATTGTTTCTTATAGTACAATGACATTCCATTGCACGCATGTACCAGCTGCAACTTGCTTATTCATTCCCCAGTTGATGAGCATCTATTTTGTTTTTATTTCTTTACTAGGGAGTTGATTTCTTTTTTTTTCTCTTTTAAATTTTATTAATTTATTTTGATTTATCAACAATCACTTCCATATGCTTTGAGTTTAAAATTTTTCTCCCCCATCCTCCCCACCACCCTCCCCAAGATGGCGCACAATCTCATATAGGCTATACATTTACATTCCTATTAAACATTTTCACATTAGTGAAGTTGTAAGTAAAAACAAAAACCAATAGGAGGAACCATTAGAAAGAGGAAACAAAACTCAACAGAAGAGGACAAAAAATGATAGCTATTCAGCTTCCATAGTTCTTTCTTTGGATGTGGATAGCATTTTCCATCATGAGGCCTCTGGGGATGTCTTAGATCCTTATATTGCTGAGAAGGGTTAAGTTTATCAATATTAGTCATCGCACAATGTGGCTGTTATTGTATACAACGTTCTCTTGGTTCTGCTCACTTCACTCAGCATCGGACCATACAAGTGTTTCCAAGTTTTTCTGAAAGTCGACCTGTTCATCATTTCTTATAGCACAATAGTATTCCATTACATTCATATACCACAACTTGTTCAGCCATTCCCCAATTGATGGGCATCCTCTCAATTTCCAATTCTTTGCCACCACAAAAAGAGCTGCTATGAATATTTTTGTACATGTGGGTCCTTTTCCCATTTGTATGATCTCTTTGGGCTATAGCCCTAGAAGTGCTATTGCTGGGTCAAAGGGTATGCGCATTTTTATAGCCCTTTGGGCATAGTTCCAAATTGTTCTCCAAAATGGTTGGATCATTTCACAACTTAGGGAGTTGATTTCTTAAGGAGGTCTGTTTCATATGAAGTTACTTACTTTTTTCTCATTGTAAACACTCTTTTGTTCCTTGAGATGTAACTTATAGCTAATCTATCCTCCAGAAGACAAGCTTTAAAATCTAGAGGCTCTAGATTCCTCTGTCTAGCTAGATATACATAGAACCGTGTTGATGCATACACACAAATGAGAAGAGAAATGTATGTTTTTAGTCTTTTTAAATCTCAGGTTACCTTTCACTGAGGAGATCTTTGCATGAAGCTTTTTTTTTTTTGCAAAAAAAATCTCTTCATAATTTTCTTTCATGCCTCAGCTTAAAGAAGTTGGAAGGGACATCAGAGACCAATCCATATGGGAAAGGAATCCCTGCTATAATATACCTAATAAATGGTCATCTAGTCCTCTTCTTGAAGAACTCCTGAGGTAGCCCATTCTACTTTCAGATAGCTCTCCTTGTTGGGAGGTTTTCCCTAATATCAAGCCAAAATTTGGCCTGAACAGAAATAGGGAAATTCAGAAGAGGAATGGGTTAACCATCCATTGATCTTCACCCAAATGCTTTCCATCATACTTCTATGCTTGGATTCTGGATTTCCTCAGAGTTGTAAGTATAGCTTCTTAGTGAACAATGCCACCTCACCCTGCCTTTTACCTTTTTTTATTTGAATAAGATATACCCATCCAGAGCCATGTTCTATAAAGTCCGAGTTTGGCCCTAGAGAAGGAATGAGAAAAATGTTAGATTTTTGATGAAAGGAATGTGGTTCATGTCTAGGTCTCTACAATTAAAGGGGGAGGGAGGGAAGCCCTCAGCTCCTGTGCAAATGTTCAGGCTATCAAACCAACGGATTTAGAATAGGCTTTATCTAGCCTAACAGAAAATATAAAGACTTGCACCCAAGCCAGTTAAATAGACAAGATTACTCTCCTATCTCCAAGGAGTCTCTAACTTCTCTGAGGATCTATACAATCTTCAAGACTTATTGTGCTACCTTGTGGTTGAGCTGCCTTCCCCTACTACCAAGGAGAAAATATGTGGGGTTCTTAAAGATTAAAGGAACTCACCTTTACCAGTCAGTTCGCCACTTGGATATATTTAGTGCTTCCAACTTATGCCTTGAGACTGAAGTTCCCTTTCCCTCTGCCCAGCCTCCAAGAGGAAAGCAGTAGGGGTTACTAGGGAGTCAAGTAGCACACTCCCCCATGGATATTTATAGTGCTGCCCTGGGATGGAAACCTTTGTCCTAGGAGAAAATGTGAAGAATGGTATGTATATATAAAATATATGTTCATGTGTGTATATATAATATATGTGTGCATTTGTGTCTGTACATAGACACATAAACATATATATGTTAATCAGAAGCACCCATGATCAACTTAATTCCCTAATCAACTTGAGATTATAGGGAATGGCCCTTTGTATGAAGCATCTGAGGGACACATCTTCATGGAAGGTATATCCAGTGATGTCTTCCTGAGAGGACACAGAAAACTCCTTTGATTGGTACCCCAGTGACTAGAGCTGCTTTCAAAATGATTGGTAACTATGGGGCAGCTAGGTGGCACAGTGGATAGAGCACTGACCCTGAAGTCAGGAGGACCTGAGTTCAAATCTAGCCTCAGACCAAACACTTGACACTTACTAGCTGTGTGACCCTGGGCAAGTCACTTAACCCCAATTGCCTAAAAAGAAAGAAAGAAAAAACTGATTGGTAACTAAAAGTTGGAGGATAGATTTTTTAAAAATAATTTCTTTTTTTTTTGTTTTGAGCAAAATATGAATTTATAGTTTCTTGATATCTTTGGAAGTTTTTTACTTTCTCTTTTTTGTTGTTGTTCGGTCATTTTTCAGTCGTGTCTGACTCCTTGTGACTCCATTTGGGGTTTTGTTGGCAAAGATACTGGAATGGTTTGCCATCTCCTTCTTCAGCTCATTTTATAGATGAGGAAATGGAGGCAAACACAGTTAGTTGATTTGCCCAGGGTTACACAGCTAGTGTGACAGCTAGCTAAATCTGAGGCCAGATTTGAACTTGGAAAGATAGAGGGGGGCAAAGAAGCCAGCCCTCTCTAGTTTAAGTAGATCAGTCTGGTTGGTATACAAACACATACATATGTATGTATGCATGTATGTATGTATGTATTATATCCTTTGAAGAAAGAGTGAATGTACCTCAAATTCTTCCTCTCTGCCTTTTCCCCTAGTACTATCTTCCAGAGTAGAAGAGTGAGGTTAGGAGATTCCCCTCCCCCCATATGCTTGCCCATGGCCTGACAGAGAGTGTTTGAATCCTTAATTCAACTTGCTGAGTACAGGAATGGACATTTTAAATCTTTAGGCAGCACAATCCCAGAATTCAGCTTTCTAGCCAAAGAGTAGAGATTTCCTGAGTGGCACCAGCTTTAAGAATTACCTGCTGGGTGACCTGGTATTCTAGAATTCTTGAGCTCCAGTTTGGTGATTGGCTCATTTAAAGAGAGATTTCCTGATGTAACATGTGCTTTGGAGAAAGAATAAAACAGTTTCCACATAGTTCCTGCATAGTTTCCTAATTGAGGAACAAAGCCACTCAGAGCAAATCTCACTAAAAGAGGACTGCTTGTTCAATAACCCCCTAAGTACATTTACGTTCTAAAGGCAGCTTGAACAACGGGGTAGCACTATGAATCCAAAGGACTGTGTATAATTGTGGGAGAGATTTCACCAGAATGTCACGTTATTGTTCTCATAGTCAGTCAACTGGTATTTATTAAATGCCTACTATGTGTCAGGCACTGTGCTAAGCAAAAGAGACAATCGCAGCTCTCAAGGAGCTTACATTCTAATGTAAGCAGGCCCAAGTTCATTTCCCTTAGGTGTTGGGCAACTATATATTTCTACATCTCTATATGGGCTCATAACAACTTTTTATCTTTACCTTTTTCTGTGAAATTAAATAAAAGCTGTCCCATTCCAAAGATGCATATAACCAATTTGCAAGCGTCTTCCTGCCATATCTCCATATCCTCTGGTTCCCACTTTGGGTCCCTCATAGTGAGAGATCACTACATCTAGAAAGCTTCAGCAACAAATATTTGCCATTTTCTTGCCATCCTGCTACTCAACATGTCCCATTTTCCTCCTTTTCTCCTATATTACTTTCCACTTGCTATTCTGGGAACAGTAATCAAATCATTTTATGTCTTCTGGGAAAATCATGTAATTCAATTATCCTATGTTCCACTCACCATCCCTATGACTTCATCCTTCCCTAGTCACCACTCCCCTGTGTCTGTTGTCCCCTCATGTCATGTGGTAAGCTCCTTGAAGTCGGGAAATAGCTCACTCATATTTTGTGTTTGCATCCCCAGAGATTAGCACAGTGCCTGGCACATAAAAGTACTCCCATTCATTCATGTTGTCAACTTACTTTGTCTCAAACTCTTTGCACTTTGTGGTCATGATCCTTAGCAGAAACCTTTATCACACCTCCATATTCTAGAGTGGAGTGGAACGAGACCTTCTTTCTCCAGCTGTTTTAATAAAAAGAGCAGAAAAGTGCACCTTCTCAGCCTTAGCAGGAAAAACCTTCCCCCCACCCAGAAAACATGCATGTGCAGCAAACTCTTCTCCCCAAAAGGCAGCTGCGCACGAACCAGCCCCAAACTGCAAGGTGTCAGTCACCAGCATAGCTCCATAGTGTTCAAAAAGAGGGAGTCGATAACTCAACTGCATTCTTCCATATTCAGGCCACATCCAGGGTATTGCATTCAGCTTGGGCAGGGTGAGGGAGGCACATTAGAAAACGTGGATGGTAAATAGATTAGAGTCCAGATAAATGGGTAGATAGAATTTATTAAGCATTCACTATATGCCAGGCACTGTGGTAAGTGTTGGGAATATAAGTACAAGCAAAAAGACTGTCCTACCCTCAAGGAGCTTACATTCTAATGGGGGAAGACAACGCATAAAAGGGAACTGAAAAAGGAGAGGGTGAAAGGTACCCACTTGGGGACAAGGTAGAAAAGTAGACCAGAGAATCAGTGACTGAACCAGACTAGAAATGAGCATGGCTGTCACGGATACTGCTTCAAATGGAGATTCTGAGAATGAACTCACTAATTGAAGGAAGTGGCTGCAGAGATGGAGGGATTGCCAACACGAGATGGCCCATGGGGCAAAGGGAATCCAGGGAGTTATGAGCTGAGTTGGGTTGAAATTAAATGCAGAAACTGGAGACGTTTAAACGCCAGGAGAAGACTTTGGAAACCATGGCACCCATCTCTAAGTAGTTGAGGAACTCTTACATGCTAAAGGGATTTGATTTTTCCTGCTTGACCTCAGATGACCAAACTAGGAACAATGGGTAAAAGGGTGAGAGAAAGATTTTGAATTTAGATTCGATGTAAAGAAAACTTCCTCACCTTTAGAGCTATCTGAAAGTAGAAAAGATTCACTCAGAAACTAGTGGGTTCTACTAGGTCTACACTCCAAATAGATTAAAGAAAGAGGAAAAGCAGCTATATGTACAAAAATTCATAGCAGCTACTTTTGTGGTGGCAAAGAACTGGAAAGTGATGGCATACTCATCACTTGGGAAATGACTGAGAAAGATGGTATGTGAATGTGAGGAATTCTATGGTACTTAAAGAAATGATGAAGGAGATTTCGTAAAAACCTGGAAAGACTAGTCTGAACCGATACAAAGTAAAATAAGTGGACCTGAGAGAACAATTTATACAACAGCAACAATAATGTAAAGAAAAACCACTTTTGACAGACTTGGGAATTTTGATCAACACAATGACCCACTACAATGCCAGAGTGCTCTTGATAAAATATGCTGCCCACCTCCTGATAGAAAGGTGATGAACTCAGAGAGTAGATTGATATGTGTGTGTATGTGTGTGTGTACACACATGTGTATATATACATACATATATACATACATGTATGTATTATGTGTGTGTATATATATATATACACACACATGCAAAGAGAAAGAGGTTTAGCTTTTCTTTCTTTCTCAATTGGGAAGGTGGAGGTGGGAGGGAGAGAAGGTAGACCTTCATGAAAATGAAATGAAATTTTATTCAAAAAAAACCTGGTGAGTTTCTCTTTGCTGGAGGCCTTCAAACTGTGGTTGGATGACTCCTCAAGGAAGTCCTTTGTAGGGACAGTTTGAATTAAATGACATCTGAGGCCTTTTCAAATGCTGGCATTCCGTGTTTCTTTGTACTATTTCTCCTATCTTTTCTGTTACCTCATTGATGCTGTTGTGGGTCAGGATACAGATGGAACAGGATAAGTATGAGTCCACCCTCCACACTCCCACAGCACCAGTCTAGAGTGTTATAAGCAAGGAAGTTGTAGTGCAGACCGGGGGCAGTTTGGGTTAACATTGACCACACAAGTGGATAGATCTGGGATCCAGACCTGGGCTCTTTGGGCAAGAAAAGTTTAAAGTAATTTTTAGGACTTTGGCAGAGAACTTCCGAGATCCCAGGGACCCTCCACGCTGACATTTGTAAGCTCCCTGCTGATGGGTTTTACCTGCTTTTTTCTCTAATTCCATCTTGGAAACTCTTTTATCCAGTTTATGACTGGATAAAATGGAATTGTTCGAACTCTTGGGCTCAGCATAATCCATTGTTCCAGATGAATAGCAACCTAAACAAATGCAGCGCAAATCCATCCGTGAAATAGCTTTCCCCCGCTCACAGCAATTTCCTTAAACCTTGTTTTGTGCAGAGATTGCTTAAACTTCTACAATGCTTTGAAATCTCATTCAGATACCAAATTCTAATAAGATTGAAAATAATTAGAAAGAAATAATATCAAACAAAAGGGAGTAAAGAAGACAATGTAATGAAAACTGGCAAAGTTCGGGAAGTTTTTCTTGTAAAATCTAGGTGTAAGCCAGGTGATAAGCTAGTTATTATTTTTTTTTTTTTGCTTAGGCAATTGAGTTAAGTGACTTGCCCAGGGTCACATAGTAAGTGTCGAACGTCTGAGGCTACATTTGAACTCATGTCCTTCTGACTTTAAGCCAGAGCTCTATCCACTGCACCACCTAACTGCCCCCTAAGCTAGGTATTTTCAAGCTTGCTTCAAGTAAGAAACAAAGTATCAGAGATACAGAGCTCAGTGAGACCCAGAGGCCAAGCAATCTAATCCCCTCATTTAACAGAGGGTAAAATTGAGACCCAAGGAGGTTAAGTAACTTGCCCAAGACTATGGAAGAAGAAAGTTATCAGAAATTATATTTGAGCCTGTTTTTTCTAACCATAAGTCCTCTCCATGCACTGCTCCTGACCCTCCAGACTTCAAAAATATGCTGCCATGCTGAATACCTCCATCTCCATCCTACCCACATCCTCCTCTTTCTCCTTTCCCTTTTATTTTTATGTGTTCTCTTCCCCAATTAGAAGATATAAGCTCCTTGAGGGCAGGCACTGTCTTTGTGATTGTTATTTATTTCCCTAGCACTTAGCACAGTACCATGCACATAGCAAGTGCTTAATAAATGCTTGTTTCCTACCTTCTTTCTGGAGAGTCATTGGTTTTTTTTTCTGTACTGTACCGTACTATCTCCTTGATGCGATATACACACAAACATATACATATATACATTTGCATATAAATATTTAGTGTATCTAATGTACAGATTTATGAAGAAAAAGAAAATTATTCTGTTATTCCAATTCTATAGTCAAGAAGAGTCAACATTTATTGGTGCTGACCATGTGCCAGCAAGCCCTGGGGATACAAAGAAATGTGAAAGCACTCCCCCTTGGAAAAAGCTTACAATTTAATTGAGGAGAAAACACACAAACAGCTATGTACAAACAAGATATATACTAGGTAAATTGAAGGCAATCTTGGAAGGAAGATACCAGCATTAAGGGAGACTGAAAAAGACTTCTTGCAGAAGATGAGATTTTATCTGGGTCTTGAAAGGAGCCAGAAGGCAGAGATGAAGAAAGGCAACATTCTAGATAGGGGGAGACAGCCAGTGAAAAATGCATGAAGTGAGGAGATGGAGGCTTTTGTACGAGGAAGAGCAAGAAGAAGCATGTTACTGGATCATAAAGTGTATGGAAAGGAGTAAGGTATAAAAAGACTGGAAAACTAGGAAGGGGCCAGGTTATAAAGGGCTTCAAAAATCAAATAGAGGTAATAGGAAGCCACTGGAATTGGTGAATGTGGTCAAGACCAAATGGGGAGGATGGTGGTTTCATATATGTGTGTGTGTGGTGTGTGTGTATGCATGTATGTATACACACATATACAAACACATGTGTATATACATGTATGTATATGTACATATACATGCATGTGTATGTGTGTACACGTGTACGCATATATGTATATATCCAACCAAATATGATCATTCATTTTCCTGTTAATGGGGTGAGGAGTGGTGGAAGGTCAAGAAGGAAATTCTTAGTGGAGGAAACATGGTAGCCAATTAGGTCTGAAAGAATCATATAGAGAGGAATTCAGGGATTGAAGGGCCCCATGGAAAGAAGAAATAACAAATTTAGGAAATTACTTTTCTACTTCGGTCTTTGAGACATATGTCTTCTTTTAGATATTATTTGAATATTTTAGATCCGAAACCACTTATGGATTATGGACTTTTTCTTTCCCTTCTTAGCTGAGTGGAAGTCAATACTGCATTTTGAGAAATGATGAATATGAAGGATTCAGTGAAGCATAAGAAGGCATGTGAATGGATGCAAAATGAAGCGAGTAGAACCAGGAAAACAGTACATAGCAATGGAAATGGAAGGAAGAAAAGGAAACTGAACAGTGTACAAGCATAATGGTCAAGATTGGCCTCAAAGAAGAGAGAAGAAATTGTGCCATCCTCCCTTCTTTGCAGCACTGAGATGATGGGGGTAGTGCATTGCAGATACTGTTAAACTCAGTTAATGTGTTGTTTGGTTTTGTTGAACTTTTTTATTCTTTCTGACAAGAGATGAGTCTCTGCATGGGAAAAGGGAGATATATTTGGAAATGAAGATGCTATAAAAATTCATCTCCTTGACTTCTTTCTTATTTATGGTTAGATTTATTTAGTTCTGAGAGGGGAAAGTTGAGGTTCCCCCACTAGTATAATTTTACTATCTATTTCGTACTGTAATTTATTTAACTTTTCCTTTAAGAATTTGGATGCTATGCTCTTTGGTGCATATATGTTTCATATTGATATTATTTCATTGTCTTTGGTTTCTTAAAAAAAAGCTGTAGTTTTTCTGCTTATCCCTTTTAATTAGGTCTATTTTTATTTTTGCTTTGTCTGAGATCATAAGTGCTACCACTGCCTTTTTTTTCAGCTGAAGCATAATATATTCTGCTACATCCCCTTATTTTAACTCTCTTTGTGTCTCACTATTTCAAGTGTGTTTCTTGTAAACAACGCATTTTTGACCTAATTCATTTTGTTATTCACTTCTATTTTATGGGTGAGTTCATCTCACTTACATTCAGAGCTATGATTACCAACTGTGCATTTCCCTCCTTCCTATTTTCTTCTGTTTTTTTCTTCTCTTTCTCTGTTTATACTGTTCCTCCTCTAAAGTCTGTTTTGCTTCTGACCACTACCTTCTTTTATCTGCCTTCTCTTTTCTCCCCTTTCTCTTATCTCCTTCCTCTCCTACTTTTCTGTTTGGTAAGGTAGATTTCTATTATCAATTAAGCATGTATATATTTTTCCTCTCTTCAAAACAATTTAGATATGAGAGAGCTTTTCTTGCCTCCCCCATTTCCCTTCCTTTGTAAAAGTTCTTCTTTGTGTTTTTCCTTTTATGTGAAATAATTTT